CCCTAACTAACCCTAACTAAACTTAACCCTAACTAACTACCCTTACTTTTCTTTCTTACTATTTTAAATATCTTTTATCCTTTTCTTTTACACCGTACGGTTTTTATCTCGTTCGTTTTATTAATATTATTATTATTTAATATATTTTTATCGTTATTTTATTATAATAACGACGTCGTCGTCCACTTTACTTTTTAACCTTAACCTTTATAAATTATAATCCGTTATTACTTAATAATAACTTATCGTACGATAAAATTAATTAATAAATAGTGTTACGTCGTTGTTTTCTTTATTTTCCCGTCGACTATATCCTCGTACGACGTCTCGTCGTCGATGTATTTCTTATTCGATTTAATTAAATTAGATTAGAATAGACCCCCCATTTTATAAAGAACATTTAAATCCGACAAACCTTTATTTATTAATAAAAAAATTCTTATTCGGTTTATCTTATATATTAAAAGTGTATATATTAATTTTTCTTATATTCTTTTTTAACACTTATTATCGTTTTTTATTTTTTTTTATTTTTTAATATATTTAAGACGGGGGTCGTACTTTTATACGTCGTCGTATCCTTACTTTTTTTCACTACTTTAAGTAAATAAAAAAAACTTTTTCTTAATAAGTTTTCGTCGTACGATATATTTAATTAAAAGACAGTTACGCGTCGATGTTATCTTTAGTTTCCCGTTAAGTACATACTCGTACGATATGTTATACTACTTTTATTTCTAAACCGATTTAAATAAATCAGTTTAGAATGTACCCTACGTTTTGTGGGGAACATTTAAATCCGACAGACCCCTGTTTACTAACAAAAAAATTCTGAACCGGTTTATCTTGTATGTTAGGGTTGGTCTGGGTATGTCACATCTCCGTCCGGTCCGACCGTGATCTTGGGCCACGGAGGAAGTGTTCCTTTTAGGATTAACGTGCCGTCGAGTTTGAACTAAGGCGGTGGGCCCCTTTGTGTGTTAGATGAAGTCGTCTGGAAGAGTATAGGGGTATAGGCTTACGGAGGATATATGCCGGGTGGAAGAGTCCACCTCCATCCCTTGACGTTTCCGGAACAAAGCTAGATTGATAGGAGATGAGTTAGATGTCAAGTTTTAAATATATGGGTCGGGCGGGAAGGAGGTAAAAGTTTACACTCACATTCAAGAACCATAGGTTACATGGTAAAAAATAGCTACCATCGGTCTTAGTAGGCTTCGGTACGTCCGTGGTCACCGTTACAACAACGCCCGGCGGCCAAGACTTGTAAGTGACCATTGGAGCTGTAGTAGTTGGCTTCACACCGCCATCGCCACCGCCGCCAATGGGAATGACTGGCATAACTGGTGCTGATGTCGATGTCCTCGAAGGGGCCACATAGGTACAGTCCTGGGTCAGAGTGCCGCTAGATGAGCCCAAGAAGGTGACAACCTTGGATGCACATTTAAAGGCAATGGTCAAAGCAGCTCCACTTCCGCAACTCGTCGTGTACGTCGTCTGGGGCGTGGCAAAGTGGAGGGCAGTTTGTGTTGGGCAGACAATTGTGGTCGTGGCCACAATCGGTCGGAAAACAACGGTGGTCACCGTTGGACCGGTTGCCGTTATGCTGGTGAAGATGGGTGTATAGTATGTGACGACGCCATTCCCACCCACTCGAATATCGCTATCATTTACACCGCTAGGGCCAGCAGTAACTTGTGGCTAAGGAGCGAGCGTGGCTGTCCGCACGGTCATGCCGCCGTTACCGTCTGGCAGGAACACTGTCACCGGTGGGAGGCTGACACTTGGATGGGCCACAAAGACGCTGGATGCCTGCTGCTTGTCGGTGACGTGAACATTAGAGTAGTGCATGCTGCCGCCAGATGAGATTGTCACTGCAGGTACAGTGATGGAAACGGTCGTCACGGTGGAGAAGAAAGTTGTCACAGCCTGACCACCAACCGTGGTGGTTTCAGTGTTGCCGTACTCAAACGACGTTGTGATAACACCGGGAGAAATCGTCGTGCCAGAAGACAGCTTACTAAGCGGCAGCACCAGGGTACAAGGTGGATCACAGCGGGCCGTGGGCTGTGACCAGACTTCGGTGCCAACATAAGCAACGTTGGATGTATCGTCGCCGGGAAGATCCATACATTGATCTCGGTTGAAAAGCCACTGCACTGTAAGTTGGAAGACTAGAAAATGTTAAACGAACCGTGTTAATGATGTACGTACCGTTGTCAGTAACTCTACCATTCTCCAGTCATAACCTCTGAGAGTCCTCTACCATTCTCCAGTCATAAATAAACGAATGGCACGCTTCTCTCACTTGATCCCTGCCGCTGGAAGTACACTCAACCCCTCTATCTTTCCATTTTTTGTCTTTTATTTGAAACTTTTGATTAAAAGTCTATAAGTAAGAAAAAGCTTTGTAGTTGTTAACAACTAGTAACGTACGAGTTAATAGGCTTAAACGAGTGGAGGGATAGGGAAAACGTGGAAAATACTTTGAAAGAGAAAAAGGATAAAAAAGAAGGGAAAAAAAGGGAAAAGACACGAGAAATAAACATTACGAACGACGAAAAAACGAAGAAAAAGAAGTAAGTAAGCGATACAACTAAAACCCCGAAAGTGCAAACGAAAACCTTACAATAAAAACTTAAACGGTTCGCGTCGTCGGTTGAAGAGATAACTTCCAACATCACACAAATACGACCAACAAGACACCTTAAATCAAAAGGAGGCATCGTTTCTACTTGGTTGTAATGGCGATGGTGGCTCTTCAGGTGTAATCATCAATTCTATTTACCCGACCCGTTACGTATATGGCGCTCGATGCTGTACCTGCAGATATCTTAATCAAGGTAGTCTCCACGGGAAATTAGGTGAAATAACATACGTTAAAGATTAAACAAATAGTCTGTTACTCAAATTGCAGTCCAAGGACGTTTGTGTCATTTATACACTGTTGGGGGACAGTAGCCAAATGGAAAGCTAATCCAAGTCTTCGATGCCCTCTGCAAGACCTGTTTCTAAATCAACCCATCCGTCTTGACCGAAAAAGCTTTTGAGCAGAGACTCTGCGCGCTCTCTTCCAGTAACCACCGTGTAGTCGCGGCCCTCGTTCTTCGGCGGGTCCTGGAAAGTCTTGTTCGGTCGCAGTGTGCGGAGAATCCCGATAACATCTGTCCAGTTAAACTCGTATGCAAAGGCAAAGATGCGCTCGTTTTTAATGGACGAGTCAAGCAAGGCCACCGCGTGAAGCCGTGCGCAGTCTCGGACATGGACATAATATTCTGCATGTCGATGTTAGCAGGAGAGTGGAGAGGTTAGAATCAGATGGGGGAGGCACTGACGTGGAGGCATAGTGTCGAACGCGAAGTAGTTGTCCTTCCAAAAACTACGCACAAAGCCCATCGTCGAACCATGCTGGTATTTCGGTACCAAGATTTCTCCCACCTAAGATTAACATCGGTCAGAAATGGGTCGTCAGGAGTGAATGAAAGGCGGCCGACTCACGTTGTAATTGGGAAGAACAGTGTTCAAAACAAAGCCTGGGTTGGTGTCTTTGTTCCATTCCCAGGCTGCACGCTCACCCTCTGTCTTCGCGGCGGCGTAGACAACGAATCCTTTGGATACTTCAGGTGTCTCGTTACCCCACGCTGCTGCCACTGCTTCATCGTTGTATGTGCCTTTACCTGGTTAGGAAAGTAATCTCCGATGTAAACATGTGATGTGGGATGACCAACTCTGATCAATGACGGCTCCCTTGACATTCGCCTTCGGTATGATTGCAGCAGACGATGAGGAGGTCAGAACAAAACGTTGAATTTGCGGGTTCTTGGCAGCAGCATTCAGAATATTCCTGGTTGCTTGCTGCGTCTGGGGGATAACCACGGAAGGATCCGTGTTCATGCTGACGTCGCCAGCCTTTCACGTTTGTTAGCATATGACTTTCGAAAATTCGATTTTGTATTGGAGGCACTTACGACGTGCACAACTCCATCAATTCCACGCATGGCCAATTCCCAATCGCTCTCATCCTGCATGTCACGAAGCACGAAAGACTCAAACGCGCCTTTGCCATACTTGGTTTCGAAGAACTCGTTCAACCAGGGCTTATCCTCTCGAGCAGTACCCCGAACGCGATATTTCAGACCAAGGAGGACATCTGCGACGTGCGATCCTATGTAGCCATTGGCTCCCGTAACGAGAATCAGAGACCCGACTGGCAGTGCGTATTGTGGTGTCGTCATGGCGTTATTAAAAAAACCGATAGTGTCCTTCGTGGGGAGTTCAGCAGGAAAACATGGGCGTCATTATCGTATTCTTGTCACCTGTCCACGACTAGCAATTTATACAGCACACAGTCATTTGATAAAGTGCGTCGACCACCCTCTCGCCCTTTGTCAGCACGGGACATAGCTGGACAGAAGCTACACTCCGGTCTATTTGTCAGCACCACTACGGCGATTAAGTCAATTCCGTATTTGTCAAAATAAAATAACCCACAATTGTGATTGCTAATGAAACGGAAGTCGTCACCTATGTCTATTCTTGTCCTTGGATTGAATCGCTTACAATTAAACGACCGTGTGCTGTCTGTCTCGAAGTTGGACGAAAAACGATTGGTGATTCGCCGGTCTCGACTTGGCTGATGAAACAAGGCATGCGATACGAATATACTTTATTCATTAATCCGTATTCTCTGTACAATAGCTGTTTCCTTTGCTGCTTCCTATTTATTAATTTAATTCTCTTTAAAATAAAGCACCACGTTGTCACGGAAGAAGCCCTCCAATCAATCCACCTATTCCATCTCCGATTCCTCCGATGATCCCACCTATCCCACCAACAATGCCACCGACGGCATCACCAACATCGCCAACAACGCCTAGCACGCCTTGGACCAAAGTCAAGGCTTTGCCGTCCTCTAAGGCCGCCCCTGCATCTTTCTTAGGGGTGTCTTTGCCCTGCAGCCACTGCTGTAATGCTTCTTGGTCTGGTGGCTTGAAACTAGTTGTCGGCATCGGTAGTACCTTTGTGCACTCTGTCAGGTCATTGATATTGTTTACGCCGAGCATGCTCATTCGAATATACTCTCGGGCAAAGTCCTAATAGCATTCAGTTGGCGAGGTTAGCTTGATAAATATACAAAGATTGTTTGCAACAACAAAGTACGTACGTTGTTCCAGGCTGCTTGCCCCGCCGCCGTGGAAAATGTGTTCCAAGTAGCGGCCGTGGATTCATGTTTGGACAATGCAATGTCACTGGGGAATCTAAAGACCCGAGGTGGCACTGTGGCGCTCTTTGTCTCTCCGTAGAAGAGGATATCCCATACTCCAGGTGAACTATCTTGTGGCGCGCCGTCACGGGTCTCGTCGACAAAGTGCTGCTGGGAAGTTGTGTGGGCACCCACGAGAGCAACAAGTGCCTCTGGTGTGATGGTCTTGTTTTGAAACAGCGCGACAAGATTTTCTGCAGAGGCATGGACATCCGGCATACGTCCCTTGTTGGTGGCTTGGCTGCTATCTTTGCGCCCAACATACGAGCGAATGCGCGGCCCAAGAGGGCAAGTGACGGTGGCAATGGTGGCTCCCATCTGGATTAGGTCCGCCATTCCAACGCCGTACCTGGAGTGGTACGTGTCGTACCAGCCCTGAACAATAATGCCAATATCTTGGAGTCCGTCGTTTTCAGCCCGGGTTAGTTCATTGGCTAAGACGATGCTGCCATCTGCACCGCCAAATGTGTCTCCCTTTTCCCAGCTAGCGGCGTCGTGGAAACCTAGACGGACAGCTGCCCGTGCATGCTTTGTGCAACGGCCCGAGTCGCCATGGAACTTGGCGTACATGTCGCGCTTAATGTACTCCCAGATGCAGCAGGGATCGCTGGCACACTGTTGGCTGTCCTTGGCAGGGACGTTTGTGTAGGTGGACGTGACGTCTTCGGGCGAGTCCTTGCCCTGCAATATATTCTTCACGGAGCGTCCGACATCTGACAGCTCGTGGTCTGCGAGCGAAGTGAGGTCCCCAATCATCTCGACTTGATTGGTGTTGTCATCTCCTCGCATGTTCAGAATATCCTTCAGTCTCCCTTGTCCCATACCTGGATAGGCGTTGCAACCGTAGATCGTGATCCATATTGTAACTAAATGCGCGAGTTTCATTTTGAACGAGACGTAGAGGAGCGAGAGAATAACAAATGGATCGAAGTGCGATGATAGTCGACAATGGCACAGTTGGCTACTGGTACGTCAAACGGCAATGCCAAAACAATTGACCAGAGTAGAGAATATATAGCGATATAACAAGAACAGTCGGTCAATGAACTTCACATCTGTCCCTGCCACACAGCAGAAAGATCAAGTAACTCCACGCAAATTCGCATTAATATCCGTTCCACGGGAACGGTCCAGGGACCTGCCAAGTTCATTTACTACTGCCTGTGGTCAAATATGAGAATGTCCATTATATTAAATTTCCCGTATTCCCCCAAGTTGTTATTGGCAAACAATGCCGATCCTGTAATTCAACCGCTAAAAATATGACCCAGATACTGTGGGTGTTATTTATAAGTTGGTAACTCGTCTGGGCCGCAGAATGAAACTTGGCAGTGTTTCTATGCCCGGGAAACGGACATCAGATGGGACCCTTCTTTTGAAGCCCCAGTACACTCAGGGGAATGAAGAGATATTCCTCGAGGCAGGCGCGGCAACGTATGTGAAAGTAAAGAAAATCTTGGATACAGCCATATTTGAACAGTCCGGTTAAAAACGTGGCTAAAATGGCAACGTTGTTCTTTTGGAGGGAAGGTACAGTATGCAAGTCACGATCTTTTACTGCGCGGTTCGTTTTTGCAGAGAGAATTAGCATGGACATTGTGAACATTGGGGATATTTTATTGGGGGGAAGCCTTTTATTTTTATTTTATTTTTATTTTTATTTTTACTTTTATTTTTATTTTTATTTTTATTTTTATTTTTACTTTTATTTTTATTTTTATTTTTATTTTTATTTTTATTTTTATTTTGAAAAGTAGGTGGGCTTTAATTTTTCAAAACATACGATTTTGGGCACACGCTTTGAACGTTTAAAACGCCAGTAACGATATTGCTCCTCAAGATCCACGGTCTTTTTGATGTGCGCGTTTGGAAGTTGTCGAACATCGGGAATAACAGTGCTTTGGAAACGTGGTAAGTGCGGAGTGGGGAAGAATTTATCACAGTCATGAGTGGGGCTGCCGAGGCAGTCTGGATTACTAAACCGCGTTGCCAGGCTAGGCCAAGGGTCACAGAAAGTTATTGAAAATGGACGTCTTTTCCCTTTCTTAATGCATGCACCAACTAAAGCCATTAAAGGAAACGCTCAGATGACGACCCTCACCGATATTCCCATAAAAATACACAAGGTAGCATCCCACACAGACGGAAAATGACATTGAACTTGAATAAGAAGCCCGTCATCGCCATTGCCGGTGCTGGTCCCGGTATCGGTGAAGCTATTGCCCGTCGCTTTATACAGGAGGGATTCGCAGCAGCTTTGATTGCCCGCACGGAAGACAAACTGCAGAACATGGTGCGACAAATCGAAACAGACTACGGAACGGGAAGCGCGCGATACTACGTTACGGATCTCAGTGAAGAGGCGTCTGTCACTGCCAGCTTTCGAAAAATCCGCGTGGAGCTGGGGCCCGTTGACGTCCTTGTTTACAACGCCGGAGCGCGGCGGGTGAACGGCAAGTCTATTCTCGACACATCATCTGCAGAGTTTGACAACTTCGTCAAGATCAATCTATTCGGCGCTTTTTGGTCAGTCAAGTGCGTTCTGCCCGACATGCTGAAAATGGGAAAGGGCACGATTTTATGTACAGGCGCGACGGGGTCGCTCCGTGGCATGCCTGGCCTGAGCAGCTTCTCACCGGGTAAATTTGGTTTGCGATCGCTGTGTCAGATCATCACTCGGGAATACCAATCCAACGGAATTCATGCGGCACATATTATCGTGGATGGTCCTGTCGACGGTAAACTTATTGGTGGTGTGATGAGACGGGCTTGGCAACGTGAGGGCACTACGGACAAGCTGGAAGACGTCTCGTCTTATCTTGTGTTGCCCGAAGACTTGGCACATACCTATTGGTTTCTCCACACGCAACCGAAAAGCACATGGACGCACGAATTGGATACTAGGGCACAGAAGGAGAGCATGTTTTCAAAGCTGTGAATTGTCAGACTGCATTTTATGGCCAGTTTGCCAACTGGCCACTGTCGCCATGACTGGTTAGACAAATTAAATTTGATACAATGAATTCATAACCGGCCTCCTTCTGCAAAGTGCTGTAGTTGAGCAGTGTAGTGTTCACTAGACGGGGGCACAACCCATGGAAAGCAATCCATCCAGTGGCTATTCTACATCCAGCATGTAAGACGTTAGTCCTCTCGTTGCTAGTTCTTTCAAGATCGTCTCTTCCATGATTGTGCTTCTCTGACGAGCCCACCATGCAGACTGGCTCGTCAATAGAATGCGGGCGGCGCGATAGAAATGACCGAGCAAAATCAAAGCTCTCGAGTCATCTTGGCTGACAAGATTGCGAAGAAGGTTACCGGAGAGTACAGGAAATAAGAAACAGCAGCGCTCAATATCAGGCTGAAGCTCTGCCAGGCCATCGCTCACTGCTGACAGGAACCGTGGGTCGTAATCTGCTCTGGGTATCCAGGAACCACGAATCATAGATACAAGACAGAACATAAGAGAAAGCCTCGAGGCAATACGACGAAAACGTTTCCGGTGCGAGTCCTCTGTTTCGCTTGAGCTGCTGGTTGCGTTCGACCTGTCTTGTGTTGGTGATAATGGTTTCGGCCCAACAGCTGGGCAAATTGGTGGCTTTGGAAACGTGCTGAGGTGAGACTTGTCGGTCACCTCGTTCTCTCGGTGTCGGCGGTCATCCCAAATGGTCATGAAATGACTGACGTACCTGTCAGGGTCTTGGCCGTGTTGTCGAATAGCCTCTTCGAGCACGTGTCGCGGGCTGTAGATTGTCGCCGCAAAGAAATCGCTTCCGGTGGACCATAAAATGGGATATGTTTCACAAACGATACCGAATACTCCAGAGCTCAACTGAACCAGGGGATCTTGCAAGAGACGTTGGCTCAGAAGATGAGGATAATACGGCTCGCCGTCCACGTCGATGGTGTGGTTTTGTTTGAAAATGTCTCCTTGGGACATGTCCTCGTGGTTGACCTTCATCTCCCCCAGAAAATCCAAACTGCTCCATGAAATGTACTGCATAAGCATGGACGTGGCAATCAGGGCCTCGCTGTTATCCGCCGTAACGGGGGACGACAGCTGTTCACTAAAGAGCGAGGCAGATCGCCCCAGGAGACCACGAGCGACGTAGCTATATCGAGTGCCCTCGGGGACCTCAGTCGCTAGGTGTGTAGCCGCTAGGCAGAGTATTGTATTCATAATATATGGCTCCTATTTGTTCCTGCTGTTTAGTAAGATGTGCACTGTCTAGCTGCCTTCTGGAGTGATTTTGTCATACTTGAAAAGACCAAGGCAGTATCTTATGCCAAATATCTGGAAACGTCAGAGTACCGGTGATGACCTTGTGGAAGTGGTAAAACAGCTCCATATGCAGAAGGTTCACCTGAGTATTGTCTCCGGTGGCCGAGAACATACAAGTATCAGAAGGTTGCCGGAGTCGTGATCGAGCGGCGTCAGCGCTCCACGATGCTGCTTCTTTATGTGTCACGCGCATACATTTTTCCTTGCGTTTAAGACAGTTTGAACACGGCTCTCGCTCGTCGCACTGACGTGTCCAACTTAGTTATAGAAAAAGAAAACAACATTTCGGAACGCTCCCTACCTTCACTCGTCGTCGTTTGCAGGCAATGCACCCATGCCGGCTTTTGTAGTGTGGCCTCTTCTTTCCTCTTGACCGTGGTGAAAGGGCGGTTTCCTTTGGAGCCTCCCCGTTCGTAATAAAGAGAAAACTGCCGACGCGTCTTTGGGAGGTAGACATCGCTTATTCCGTGTTGCTGGTTGCCGATTTGCTTGTCATCCGCATATGACCACACGCCGTACCTAGCTTCTCCAGGAACGAGATGAATGAGGTGGGTGCGATGCGAGAAATCACGTTTTATCGGGCACGCGGTGTGCAGACACCTCTCCACTTTTCTGTGGACCTTCGTTCCCGTTTCGGAAGTAAACGAGACTCCTTTCTGAAGATGACGTCACCGCAAGTGTCTGCAATTTCGACGGCGAATGAAAAGTGAAGGCTATACAACTGTGCATTTGATTTTTAATTCTATCCAGTCGTCACTGCAATACACGGTGTCCATCTACTTCCACGCTAGCATCTCACACTGCAGCGACGCAAGCCAAGCATCTTCGGTGTCAGCCCATGCTTGCACAGCATCTAAAGTCTCTCGCGTCTCCTCTTCGCTGATTCCAGCCTCGCGCCAGTTTTTGTAAAATGGGTCCCCGGGAGTCAGCTGGCCTTTCGCCCGCCATGCGAGCCAGGTCCGGGTCTCTTTACCGGTTGAGATTGAGCTTCCGGCTCCAATTTTCACTTTGTCGCCATCGTCTGTGTCGAAGCCAGCGCTGCGGTAGAATTCAGGCATCCTTGCACCGTTGGTATCCATGGACCATGAGGAGCCGTGCCGCAGCATTTTGTTCAAGTTCTCTCCCCATAGCCGGTCGAGCTGATGCCGACTTGGGTGAAAATGACTGAATGCACCATCACGCGAAGCCAAAAGCCCTCCGGGCTTGAGTACACGGCGCATCTCTTCCAGTGCCTGGCGTGGTCCGTCAGGAAGCGGCATATGTCCCAGTACCTGTGAAGAATAGACGATGTCAAAGGTGTTGTCTGGGTACGGTAATCCGTTTAGGACATTTCCGTGCTCAAATGTGACCGATCCAGGCCCTTCGGTTGATATGTGCCCATCAGTTGCCAGTTCCTGGGCCTTTTCCAAGACATTCTCTGACAGATCGAGACCGACAATTTTGCCTTCCGTGGCATATTTTGCAAGTCCTGTGGTGATCGTGCCAGGTCCACAACCCACATCCAGAATGTGGTCAGACTTTTTGATGTAGGGCAGTAGAAAAGCGGCGTCCACTTCAGCAGTCCGCCTTTCATGATTTGCCGTCGTGTAGTCTGAGTGGCCTTGTTTGTAGCTGTTGTTCGAATCTTGCTGTGCCATAATGGAAGGTGGCTTGTTCTTGTGAATGAATGAGGCTGTGGAAAATTATGATTAGTGCAGGTTGCAAGTGATGGCTTGAAATTTTATAATTCTCTTTGGTGTTCAACTGGAATTCTTGCGTGCAACTGAGAAGTTATTTATGTTCGATTCCAGTATTGATGTCGTTCTCGCTTTACCGCTTTACCAAATTGAGAAATGTCCGAGAAGAACGAATCGTCACTGCAAATAACCTGACTTGGTAATCGTCGAAAAAACAGGGTTGTATTAAATACTGAATTGGGAAATGACCGAGATAAACGAAGCTATGTAATAATATTCGCAAGAACGAGACATCACATGGCAAACACATCCTTGTGAAATCCAGGACAATTACGTGTTTACTTTAAGGCCTGGGCTACTAGACCAGTTGATTTTCCGACAGTAATTGACCGTCCCTCCACCCCCCTCCCCCCTAACCCCTAAGGAGGCCGCGGACTTTCTCGACACAACGTCGGTCGCCTACCGCCGACGCCTCGCGGCCAAGGGCGATCCTCCTAGCACCAGGTACGCCGTCTCGCCAAAGACAAAAAAGAACATATTCCTCACCCACCTGGTCTCCCTCGACGCTCTCAAGATGCGCGTGACCAAGCCAGCCGGGTACACTGCTCCGTGGGGCAACAGACGCGGCCCGCGCATCTCGGTGCCCCTTTTGCGTGACGAGACAACGGGCGCGACGCAGGCCGACGCCTACGAAATCGAGGTCTTGCTCGCCACCTTCAACGATCCCACCCTGGAGCCTTTCAACAAGTACGTCCGGTTGCGCGCAGCCGAGCACGTACAAGAGCAGAACGATGCCATCTACATGGCCTGGTTTGAACACAACCACCTATCCGTGCTCCTACGGCGCACGTACGGAGCCAATCCCCCACCGGCGCGCCTGATCACCACGGCCAACTCTGCTGTGTACCAATACTGGATCGTGTTTGTCCGGGAGAAGGAGGAGCTCGTGGCCTATGTCCATGGGTACAGAGGTAGGGTCGAGGACGACGTGGAGATTGGGATGTTGGTCGCAGCTATCTTAGAAGATGGCACCGCTTCGGCAGTTTTGCACGCGGCAGAAGAGTAGAAGGCAAGGTCAGGCCAAGCAAGCAGTTAGAGAAGAGAGGACGACGCGATGGCTTCTTTGTAAAGAAAGTGCATTTAAAGATAGTTTTTACATTAGGGCTTTTTTAAAAGAAAAAAAAAGAAACGACAAAAAAAAAACGTGATGCATAAACGAGAAATAAGAGAGTCTTTTATTCACAGTTAACGGGAGACCGTGGTGCTCTCGAAGTGCGCGGCAAGCGTGTTGTTGAAATCCAGGTCATAAATTATTTTAGCTTAGTCATTCAGGTAGTTGTGCCTTACATCTTAAGCACTTGTTTCAGGGCATTGCCCTGTTTTGTCCCTCTGAGGGAGGATTGAGAATAGGTTGATCCATGACAGGGTCTCTATTTGGCGGCGACGTGACTAGAAAACATGCTTATTTATGAGACCCAAAAAGGGAGAAAACGTAAACGAAAAATGTATAGGTGATTTTGGAGTTCGGCCCTGGATTTCGAAGGCCAGCCCCTAGATGCTAAAGTGACAGTTGGAATGAATGACCGGGATGCAAAGGCGCCTTTTAAAGAAATTTCGCGGATATAAGGAACATATGCACTGGAAGGATTTCCTTAACTCCACAGCGGGATCCCGCTTCTAATCGTCGTATCATGCAAAGTAAGTGGAGGTTCTATCTATTGAAGACAATTAATGTTATTATGCACAATTCGTGGTATCGCACACAGCGTTAATCGCCCAAGGATCATCAAGAGTTGCAAGACGAATGGCATTCTCAACATCGCGCTTTCGGAACGCTGGTCCGCGACCGAGACAGATAGGTCCGAGGGAAAGATCTACGACAAGGTCAGTAAATACATGGACAAGAAGACACAAAGAACCATTGAATCTCGGCATTACTCACATTTAATGAAGCTCGCTACGTTGAGCTGCGGAGCCGAATTGAACCGGGGACCGGAAAGGGGCGAGCTCGGGTCCTGAATACGAATCGCTCGCCGCTGTAGCAGCCTTTGCACACCACTCGCATCCATCCACTCATCAGCACCCGATTTATTGACAATTTGCCATGTTCGAGAGGAAACGGCGAGTTGTTCAGGCGAGTAGCTATTCCTCCTTGAATTGAGAACTTTTGTCCTCAACTCGATCGTGTCTCCTATTTCGTCGTGCATGACATCGACGAATCCGGAGATCAAGCGGTTGCGCTCGTCGATGGTCAATCGTTTGCCGAAGATTGCTTTGACCCTTGGATCGTCTCCAAATGAGCTTGTTAATAGATAGTATCCAGTCTCGCAGCATTGTCGGATCAGACGGTGTGAGACTGTCCAGCGCCCTTGTTTTAGGAGATTATCGGGCGATACTATGGTCGGAAAATTCAAGGCGGGACTAGGGATGGATGAAAAGGGGATAATCGGAGACGACAAGACTATTCCGAGCGGTAGAATTGCTTGTTCTTGGAAGGGTGGCGTAGGGGGTAGTTGTGATAGTCCAGGCCATTGAGCCGCGAGGTCCGACGTGGACTGGAAAGCGTCACCCATTATTGGCAATGAATCAAGTTCTGTTATGAGCGGATTGTCATTTGAGATTATATCTTGTGTATCACTGACCGTGAGAGACGTCGATGGCGATACGTCCGCCGGCGCTGCAGGTGCTTGTTCGGCCTTGTCGCAGCCACTTTTGGCAAGCGACACGCATTGCTGTGTAATTTTTTGCAGAGCAGCTGTGACACGAGGCTGATTTTGGAGAATCCCAACCTCGAACAGAAGATTACTGAACGAAAGGAACGACTCGCTAAGGTCTTCGATGCCCGACTCGAGTTCCTGTACGCGAGATTGCAGATTGCCGATCGTGGTCTCTTTTCTCTTGCGATATGCTTGCTGTGCGACGCGAAGCTGCGTTCGACGTCTCTGGATTCCTTGAGTCAGTTCCAACTTGCTCTGAGTTGTTCGGTAGGTACTCACCTCGGGAACTTGCTGATCGTCCGTCACAGTTCGTGGCCGGCCTCTCTTGCGAGGCGCGGGGGCGTCAGTCATTGTTTCGACCATCGTGTATTGCTTTTGAGACCTTTTCTTTATCTTGAAGACATGCTGTGATGTAATAGATAATCTGAGAACGTGACAAGGTCGGGGCGTCGGGACTGCTGAATAATCGAAAAATCAGTGGGTCGTAACGATTGGCCCGAACTGCGCTCCAAGGACGTGACGTTGTTGCTTACTCCTCGGGGTGGGGGCGACGGGACCGTTGAATAATCGAAAAATCAGTGTGTCGCAACGATTGGCCCGGACTGCGCTACAAGGAGTTTTGCTGTACAATGCTCCGTCCGAATCAACTCATCATCAAGACCGAGCGCGCCACAACGAGGAATATAAATCGAATCGTCGACCTCAGCTTACTCGATAATTCTCCATCTCCCAATGCTCCGAAATACCTAGGGTACAGCGCACAACTCTCGCAACATGTCTTCATTCACTCAGCCGATGCCAGTAGTTGCCTGCGGTAGAATACCCGCGATGGGGAAATCAATCTCCCAGCACGTGCTGCCTGAATATGAAGGTTCTTGATATACATTCCTGAAATAAACAAAATATAGTGCTAATACCCCTCAGTCATCCACTTCATCCTGTCATATGAGGCTGCAGAGGCTGAGCTCCCGCATCTGCTTGCAGGTCGCGATCCTCAGTCTCGGAGCCCCAATGAGATCGGAACCCACGATTACAACCGGCCTCCTCGCGCCGTAATCTTCGGTCGCGGCTATGAGCCTCAACAGGTTGAAGAGCTTAAGAAGAAATACGCGGGTGTTGCTAAAGAACCTGTTGCTTGGGTGAGGGGCAACCCAGCGGATCTCCCTGCCGGGGCCGCTGGACCTGACTATGCTCAGAATATCGCGGCGAATATGAAGAAGGTGCTTAATAAATGGAGGGACGGGGGAGGAAAAGATGAGGAGATTTTGGTGTACTAGTCGCTTTGTCGGGGAGAGATTATCTGATGCCTTGCTTTTTGCCAGTTCGAATCTCACCAACACAAGTTCGAGGGCTGATGTCAAGGATATTTGTAAGTGGTCTTGGACTTCGCTAGTTGGTTCCCTGGGCTTGGATCTTTTGGCTGTCGATGTACTTCTTCTGGTCGTGGCATAGAATGAGAATAGGAGATTGAGCATCCAAATGTTTACGATTAAAAAGGCAAAGTAAAAATCTTTTAATTGGGCACGCTCCTTAAATTTCACCCCGACCGTCCAGGCCGAAGCGTAATGCCATGAACCTGTTGCACGTGGTTCCTAAAATGATCCAAATGCTTCAGATTTACTCCCTCCTCCTTGCACTTAGGATGACCGCAGAAGATCAGATGGCTGCGCTCCATTTCTTCCATCTCCTTTAAATGCTGGTGGTAAAAGTGGTCGTTCATCACGGACGGTCGACAGTATGAGAATATCCTCTCCTGGTATGTCTGTCTTTCGTCACTAACGCAGCGTGGACACTGTGTCTTTCCCATAAGAAGAGGGAATGGGTCCGGTCTGGGCGACTCTTCTTCTTTGCTGTGGGCCGTAATATGTGACTTCTGGTGGATACGGCGCAATTTCACCGTGTCGCGTTTTTGATAAAGAGTGGCTATAAGCTCGCCAGCCTCAATACGCCTCTGAGTGAGCTTAGTAGGGCTGAGATCATCCGACTGGCTAGAGAAGAGCTCAGCTAGCCGAGCACGCTCAGGAATACGGTGTTCTATCACGGGCTCACTGTTTTCTTCTTGTAGCTCTCCTCTTGCCTGTCTCTTAATGTCCTAGGTCGGCCGTTTGTAGAGATAGTATTCGTGGTAGGCTTTCCGGTTGGCTTTATTGCGTTGTGTATGTTTAGTTCGGATCGTCTTGGTAAGGTCTCGAACTTTCTGTTCCTCCTCTCGGCCTTTGATCCGGTATTGACCTTTCTTTAACGTTGTCCTCTCCTATTGAAGCGCGACGATCTCTGGATCTAGTGGCAGGTCCCTCCAGACTTCGTCCGGGACCATGTCACTGCTTGCGCTGGGATCGCGCATGGCGCTCATGTGTGAGAGTATGCCAATCAGAGCATCTTCATACGGCTCGTCCAAGACAGCGTTCTGTAGGTGGAATGTGACCTTCTCATTGATATACGCGCTGTTGAATATAGCCAGCCCATTTTGGATCATGGCGCATCATCTGATCGCGCGTGGCATCGGTCGCCTTGCCTGCGGACGTAATGGTTAGTATAATAATTATTACATAAGGTACAGGGAAATATACCATTGGCCGCGTTGCCCGCCCCTCTGCGCCACACTTTTAGTTCGATGGGGTTTTCGAACCCAGTATCCAGCGATTACCTGGCCATACTGTCTCGTAGTATGTGGTACTGGAGGGCCTCGTCCTTCGAAGTGATCGAACTATTTGAACGGCGGAAGACCGGTCGTTTCAACCAGTCCTTTTTCCACCGAAGCGGTGTACAGTTAGTCGGTCCCGTGTTTTTCGACTCGAAGACACGTCTGACATTGGTAAGACTGGGCGCGTCGAATGCCTCGTCGTTAACGGTAAGACTGACAATAATAGTTATCAAGCAGAAAATCAACTTTTTCGTCAGTGTAAAAAAGAAGATAGTCCTATTACAGGTGTCAGTGGGGACGTATCACGTAGGGTGTCAATAAGAAAGACGAACGGTTTAGGTTTGTTATCCGCTCCTTTATGGTGAATAAGCTTCACTGCCATTGCCAGCACATCCTCGCCAGTGACCGGGTGGCGTACAACCATTAGTAATACATCTTTATAGTAGGAAGCCTTGGGACGTTTGCGGCCGGTCGTTTCTTGTGATAGTAGTTCTTTAAGCAGCCTGGAATCCTCGTCGAGAGGTTTGTCGTAAGTTGTGTCGCGTAATCCCGAAAGCTCTCCACTCCCTTTTTTAACATGGTGACCACCGACGGATTACGGGCTAAAGAGTTCTTTAAAAGAGCCATCCGTGGGCTTCTTTTTCTCGTTGTCGACAATCTCGGTAGGGCGAGCCCCCGTGTAGGTAAGGAAGAGGTAGCACCCTGACAGTTGTACGCGCTGCCGTTCCGTGTGAAACGTACTAGTGTCGTACGCGATATTGAACGTCAAAATCACTAATAAATCACCCGAGTCTCCTACATCCTTTCCGTTTTTGTTAGGGGCGTGAAGGTTAAAGATAGCCACTAACGTGGTATCGTGTCACTGTAAAAACATGTTAGTAACGGTTATCGTACTAGAATAAGTAGCCGAGAACGTACCTTTATTATTTCCTTACTGTTATTCTTGTTTAAGTATCGGCCATTAACACTAGTATAAAGTTGTTTATACTAACGAAAGTACTCCTAAGATGAGTCCCACGAAGCGATCTTGTAATTCTCACATAAATGGTGGAGAAAATCCATCGTTATCGCTCGGTCAGCTCTTTGAATCACATCCTTTCAAGGACCCAACTTTACAAAGTCGCAGTACCTTAAAATCTGTTAACAACATGTACTAAACGTAACAGGGGTTTATTTTTTTTAAAGGGGGGGGGAGGGGGGAGGGCGGTAGTATCGTATAAAGCAGTCATACCTCTTCCATTTCCGTAGAATGCCAGCAATGTTAATTTTAGTAGTGTCGGTATAATCTGGCAGGAAAAAATGAGCGTCTTACAACTGCTTCCGAAGGACAACACGCTGGGTGACCGTCAATGGTTTCCGTTGCTTCGAAACCCGTGATTTCGATTCTCTCTGTATAAACTGTTTAATAAATTCCCCGTACTAGTTGTTGCCTTGGTGTCTTTTAGGGTAGGTCTAAGCCATGTTGGGCAAGTAGAAATAAGGGAAAGACTGGACTGTAGTAGAAAGAAGTGAAGATAAAAAAAAGGTATTTATAGGTGTGAAACGGGTTTTATTTATACTAATAAAACGATAAAGGAGAGTTAAGATAAACTTATTATAGTATATAGAACAGATAAAAAGATAAGTAGTAAAACGGTACGTATCTTTATTAAAACTGTAAGTTTCGGAGGTCAATTGGATAAATCTCGATAAACTTGGTGATGAAAACACGAAAAGGAATCGATGAATTGATGAATTGTATACGGAATTGGTTGTATGTTACAAGGATTAGATTCCAATCTTCGTTCCTCGAAGAGAGAGCGACAAAAGGATTATTATATTCTATGGTAAGTGAAAGGTTTAGTCATCGTACGTCATAGACTATAACGCTAGCTTATAACGCCTATGCGCTGTAAGAGGTCGAGGGTACGCCACGAAGGTCGAGGGTACGCCGCGTTTAATAGGTGAAAAAGGGTAAAAAACACTTAACGGTACTATAAATAATGTTATAGTATTATAAATAGTACCGTTTTATAGAGAAAATTCAGGGCTTCTTATAAAAACGATCCGGTAAAAAGAACTATTACACCGTAAAATACTTTTAACGAGGACTGGAAATAAAAACCTTTATCTTTTATTATACGTTTTCCCGACCGTTTGGACCGTTAAGATAAACTACTAAAACCAGACTCGTTTTATAAAATGAAAAAAGTTAACCGTTTAAGGCTTAATAAACACTTTAGTATTAATGTAATACTCCGTTACAGAGACGGTTTTAAAGAATTACAACTACAGGTACATGGTACTTCGAAGGGACAAACCCCTCACTACAGGGACCGCCGAAAGTGGCGGCCCGTGCTAGATAAAAGTGGCGGCCACAACAGCGCTTTCTCGACTTAATCTGTAATTCCTTTTTAGGGATTAGAAGGGGAGAGAGAGAAATACGTCAACATAAATAACACTATTTTTCATTTCGAACAAAAATGTAAATTTAATACTCGTTTATTTGCTTTGTACTAATCTTCGTCATTATTTGTGTACATTTTATTTTTCAAGAGTAAAAAAAAAAAAAACAATAAAATAAAATGACATTAAAAATTCATCGAACAGAGTATGAGAACAAGACTAAGCTTAAAGTTTCACCTCGCAAAGCATCTTATTCCGTAGAAACTCATCAATGTAAACACCAAGAAACCATAACCTTGGTCCTGTGGCGCATCACCTCAAAATAAGCTTTGCTACGCCACTTTATTTTCCGCGCCGGAATTAGTATTGCCAGATTGAGTTTTGTAGCGTGCCACCCGTCAAGACTCGAACGCGCCACTGAGTCAGTTGTGGATGCACCAGACTCGCCCGCAGCCAATTGTAACCGACATTGTTTGCCTTTGCGGCCACACCCATGCTTGGTGCCGACAGCCGGAAACCATAGTGCGGAGTCAAGACTGTCACTGTTAAAAGTCACGCTACCCCAGCTTCTCTATGTTTTCCGCTTACCGTCGCGACGTGCTGGTTGCCGTATTCAAGAATGTCTTTGTGGGGGAAATGAGGAGACAGAAGATGGGTGTGACTGCACCGGATATCATAAACCGGCCTGCATACGATTGACCATTGAGAGTGGCTGTTTTGTTCCTGTGCCTTGCCTTGAAGGTGAGAGCACCGGTGTACCTGTGCATGCCGTTCCCCATTCCCCGGCCCCCAATCTCGAATCCCTGGTATTCGTCCTGTGATAAAAAGGAGCCGCTGCCGATCGCAACGTTCTTGGATGGTCCTCCAGTTCCTTCCTTGGACTGCACTTCACCTGTATGAAGAAAGCGACTGTTTTGTTTGTGAACGACACCATTCCATACTCATCAACCTACATGAGCAGCCATGGAAGAAGTCGCCGCTGCTGGTTCCGAAAAGGTGCCGTCAGAGACACCCTCTCACCGAGAGGATGCTGTAGTCGTCGACGTGGAATGTGATTCGGGCGCAGACTCGGAAAATGCTGCTGGACACATGACAACACAAAGTTACATCAGCATCGCAGTGAGTTTATTGGCAGAGTCCTTTCCTGTTTGACAACCATTGCTGACAATGCAGGCTCTCCTATTCACGTACAATGCCTATCTCTACACGCAACTCATGCCCCCCGCTGTGCTTGCCTATATCAATGCAGATCTCGGCCCGGACGCCAACTACATCTGGATCACCATCAGCTGGAATTTGGCAGCCGCAGTGGTGGTGACAGTGAGCGGACGCCTTGCGGACATCTTTGGTCGACGCTGGTTTATGATCAGTGGAGCTTTTATCTCGACAATTGGTGCCATTGTCGGTGCCACGTCCCATACCATCAACGGCATGATTGCGAGCGGTGTTCTCTTTGGACTCGGCGGCGGTATCCAGGAGATGGTCTTCTCGTGCCTACAGGAGATGGTCCCCAATAATCGCCGCTTCTTGGCTCTGGGCATCTACGAGTTTGGCAACCTGCCGGCCATGTTCGGGCCCATTATTGCCTATGCGTGGATTGCTTATGTCGGTACCGGCTGGCGCACCTGCTACTACTGGTGCATCGCCTGGGAGGGGGTCGCCGTGTTTGCCGTCTTCTTTTTCTACCACCCGCCAACATTCCAGACCAAGCACCGCGGCGACCACGAGACATGGTTGCATCTACTGGCGGAGCTGGACTACGTCGGTCTTGTCGCCTTCACGGCGGGCTGTGTTCTCCTGCTCCTGGCCATCAGCTGGGGCGGCGTGCTGCACCCTTGGAAGAGCGCCATTGTCATTGCCCCTATTGTAGTGTCGGGCGTGCTATTTGTGTTTCTTGGCTTCTGGGAGGCGTACGCGCCGCTCAAGCACCCGATTCTGCCACCGCGTCTGTTCCGCAAGACCCGCGAGTTTACCACGGTGCTGGTCGTCATCTTCGTCGCCGGCATGCTGTACTACTCCAACCTGGCCCTCTGGCCCCGTGTGTCCAGTCTTTTGTTTATTCCGGCCAATGACACCATCAAGCGTGGCATCTACGCCGAGATCACCAGCTTCAGCACCACCCTCTCGGCATTTTACGGCATCACAGTCATGCCGTGGCTTGGCCGCGAGCGTTGGCAGCTGACGACGCTTACTGTATTGCAAACCACCTTTATCGGCGCCATGTCGGGTCTCAGTCTCGACTCCAAAGCCCGTACAATTGTCTTTACGCTGCTGGCTGGCTCTGCCTCGACCTGCACGTCGATGTTGACGTTTGGCACCATCAGTCTCTTTCTCGATGATCAAGCTGATATGTAGGTGCAATGCGCTCAGTGTTCCATTTTATTATTTAATTTTTAACTTACTTGTTACCGTCTCTTCCCCGTCCGGTTCACACTCTCATTACCACTTTAGCACTACGCATCTGCTAACGTACACACAGTGGCGTCGCTGTTGGCTTGACTAGCACTTCTCGTCTCATTGGCGGCGCCATTGCCGGCGCCATCTACACGTCCATCTACACGAATAAGTACAGCACGGGCATCCCCGTCGTCCTGCAGGAATACGCCGATGCCGCTTACTTCAACGGATCGTTCCCACTTCTGCTCAAGGCTAGCGCCATTAACACATCCGCCGCTTATGCGAATGTACCCGGTATCACGGACGCCGTCATTGCTGCGGCGGAAATGGCCGTCAAGGTAGCGTACATTAACGCGTTCAAATATGTGTACTGGTCGGCGCTGGCTTTTGGCGGCGTCTCGATCTGCTGTGCCCTGGCAACACGCACCGTTCCCGACGACCGCAAGACGAAGCAGCGTGCCGTGACCATGGAGAACGAGAAAGGCATCCACGGCACAGCTGAGCGGGCCGCCACTTAAGGACAAAGTGTAGTTTTAAAAAGATAGATGATCCGGACCGGACCAAGACAGCGAAGAAGACAAGGATGCAGATGTATATACCGGAATGTATGAGCAATGGTAGTGGCATTATTTTCTACATGGCGCCGCCACCATCTACGTGAATAGTATGGCAAAGTACACAGCAACACTATATACTGTTTGTTTACTCCCGTTTTGACCTATTCTTGCGATGGTGTACCACGATTGCAACCGGCAAGCTGGGCATTCAGAGACGGGCTCCATGTCTTTGCATTGGGCGGGATATTGATTACCAATCAATCCTTCTGCTGGCTGTTGATATCCCAGGTCAACCATCTAGAAATTGTATCTTAACTAGGGCAGGGCAGTAAGCTTGGATGACAATCTGTCCGTGCAGGGGCATGGCATAGGCCAGTTAGGCTAGAGGCTGGCAGCTATATCACAAGAGACTTGAGTTATGACGGGGACTGAGCGCTAGGAAGTGTGCGCGGAAATCTAGAGATGAACTGAAGAACTGAGGCTACGATGAATGTCGGCCGTTGCACACTGTCGAACTTGATAATCAAGTCGAGGCGAATAGCCAGTCCAACGGGCCACCCCTGTCACATTGCTTCGGCTTACATAGTTATGCAACAAGAGAATAGTCTCCCTCCCTCCCCTTTTCGGGGAAATCTGGGCCAGACGGAGAAGGAGTCCACTACGGCACGAGTTACTGTCGAGAGATGGCAGTCGAGAATGGTGACTGTATTCGAGGCCAACAAAAACATCCGCCAGAAAATCGTATATGGTCACGAATGCAAAATTCAGAATCGTGAGCAAAATCCAGATTTTGGAGTTGTAAACAACGACAAACTTCTAAGCTGTATATGCTTGGCCGCTCTTGATTTCTCGAGTACTTGAATCATAGGATGGAATGCTCTTCTCTATTGTCTAATAGTCAAACAGTCTATCAGGTATACGCATGTTGGGTGACAAAAACAGTGCGCAAACAAGCTGCCATCCGCGGAGAAACACTGATTCGCGAATCGTGCGGTGAATGGTGTCGGCGGTATGTGGTGACAGGCTGTATTATGCCCGGGATGATGCCTGCTGCGCTCGATTCGCGACGGAGTTTGAATTTTGGCTCATAGTCCGTAGTACGCGAAGGTGTTCGTTCTTGAGCTCTTCAAAGTCGTGCTGCAACTGGTGATGCCACGGATAGAGGACGAACACCTGAAACGCGAGCGCCGAAGAGGCGACGCAGAAGTTGGTCAAGGAAATGATGCGCGTTGTTCTCATTTTGATCGGTGGATTTGTTGGAAGAAATAGCTGCTGTCGAACTGTGACGAGAGCGGGACAAACAACGCAAGAGAGAAAATGGTCAGCAGCGATTGTGTGTGGAAGGCAATGGTGATAATGGCAAATTGGCCACATACCTTTGCACGTGAAAGTCGCGTGCGCACTCCCCGGCAGAATAAATCGCCGAGGACTCGACGGGTGACTGGTGTTGGGAGACAGGGCAATACAGTTGGCCACTGAGTAACGTCGCTGGACCCTGAGGATCAATGAAGGGCAATTGAGCGCGTAATGTAAAGGCAAGATCTATCATTGACTGAAGTATGTCGTTGGAGGGAAAATGAGGACCGCCTTGGGCCATAGTGTGCTGCCGACTGTCGGCCACGGGTATTTACGGGCTGCAGCTGTGCTGCACGGACAGGTTTGCCACTATTCCCAATTAGCGTACCGTTACAGCGGCCACGTAAAGAAAAAAACATACGATCATGACAAAGAATTCGCATTAGTGCCTAAGAAAACTGGGAACGTTACAAAACAATCTCGACAACTCCGACATATTACGCCACAGCCGTTCTCTAATCCTGTCAATATATAGCTCCGTATGCATACGGCTGCAGCATGCCGTCGCCCAGATTGTCGCTTAGATTATTGCCCAAATTATTTTCGAATCATCGCCAGCGGGTTCATAATAGTGGTCCACGTCCCACGGGAGAACTTCCTGGAGAAGCCTGGCGGTGCTGTAGCCGCCCACCGGTGGGGCATTTGCCACCGAGCCCATTTCTTGCATAGCCACACTTAGACGGGCCGTAGCAAGAAAAGCCGTATTCTGAATTGAGTTGGCACGTTCAACATCCGCAACATCTTCCACCACGACAACAGAGCCATCGTCGACGACCGTTTGCTGCACTGCTTTTGCGCTTTCACTAGAATCCTCCGACACTATCTCGAGTAAAGAGTGGCGAGAGGCCATAGACATATTCAGTCTGTTATTTCGAGGAACGTCAAGGTTCTTTGCCGAGCGGCCGGCCGCCTCCTCCTCGCCCATCTTTAAAGTGTAATCATTTTGTGAATGTCCTCGACATGCGGCCGGCCTAACAGCACCGTAGGATGCTTTGGGTCTCCGAGGAGCGTCACTGTGTCGCGCAAACTCTCTTCCAGGCGGGCTGTGGCCAATACTGATTGTGCGTTGTGTATACGGTTGTCTCCTTCGTCGCATCGTCTGTAGCGCTTCCCGCGACTGTCATGACCGTCGAGTCGGTGTCGCAGGTACAGTAGAATTTGTGCGACTTGGACGAATAGTGCCGTGAAAGGGATGCCGCGTTGGAAGCTTTGTTCGCGTGCAAGGAATGCGAATATGAGGTCGGCCGCCTGTTGACAGACCGAAAAATACCGCCACAGAGAAGGCGAAGACGGCCCAGGCTTGCAACATACTTAGCGCCGTAATAAATGCAAACAGATTTGAGAAAAAAAATGAAAAAAAAAAAAAGAAACTTGGGAACCGAAAATATTAAAGTATAAAGTATATTGTTCAATTACGTTTTTATTGAAATTGAATGACCAGCGTTAAAAAGGAAAACAATATACAATAAACTAAATCAATTTAACACATAAGGTGAATAAAATGTAGCAGCAAATACGACCATATCTTCCAAGTACCATGACAGCCCTGTCAATATGTACTCAATCCGATACCTCTACCTGTATATGAACTCCTACTCTCTTATCGCACAGCCGCTCTTCAATCCGCTTACGCAGTGATGGAAGGCCGACCTTTGGGAAGCGCGGATCCTGGCACAACTCCACGGCTTCGTACAAACGGTAGACAAATGTCCGTTCGTGCTTGCGCATGGAAATGACCTTCCCAACCATTGTGGTGTCCTCGTGCCGCAGTCAAGCCTTGATGTCGTACGGATATGGTGCCTACAACAACAATGGTTCGTCTGATTTCTGCAAGCAACCCTCGGAGAAGGCGAACGTCTTCGTGTATGTCCGCTGTAAAGCGTAGTCGGTGTCCTTGCCTTGCAGGAGCGGAACACATAACTCTCCACTGTGCGTAAAAGCTCGCTAACACCAACAAGCTCGAGCAGCGTCGGCACAAGGTCGACCATCTCAGTCATGGCCGACACAGTGTGGTTAGTCGGCAGACCAGCTCCGGCAACAAGCAGAGGTTCACGCACCAACGTCTCGGACAGTCTGGACGGTCACTTCTCAATCAAGCCGTGGTCGCCCAAGTACTCGCCATGGTCTGTGAAGAATAAAGTAACTGTGTCTTTCCAGATGCATAGATCGTCCAGGGCCTTGACCAGCCTGCCAAACTGGTCGTCAAGGCGCGCAATCATGCCATAATAGGTCGCCTTGATCTCGCGCCACATGGCATCCGTTGCCCGCGCTGTGCCATATCGCTCACGGATTGTCTGCATGTAGCGCGGCTCATAGCCCGTCTTTGCCTCTGGCGTCGAAACGACACTCCCGACGGACTCGCGATCGTACTTACTGAAGTACGGCTCCTCGACCTGGAAGGGACAGTGCGGGAACAACAGCGGCCGGAATAACACTCGCGGTTTGTCACTAGGAGGGCACTTGAGCCATGCCAGCGCCGACCGGATCACCGCATCATCATAGTCGGATGCCTGCTCGGGCGGTCGCAGTCCCTTGTAGAGAGACGACCCCAGATGTCATCTGCATCAGGCTGGGAATTGTTACCTGGCTCGGCGAAACCGGGTAGACAGTCAGGCGTCTCGAGGAAGCCGTACTTATTGAGGCTCATTTCTGTGACGGTGGAGGCAAACGTGTCGCCTTGAGGCGCTAGACATGCGACGTGGTAGCCGTTCTCTTTCAAACTCCGCAAGACGTTTGGTTCCCACGGCTTGGTGAGGTTGTTCAGGCTGCGGTGGCAGCTGATGTGTGGGTATGTGCCGGTGAACTTGCTGCAGAGCGACTGGGCGCACACCGATGCTTGCACGTAACACTCTGTAAACAGAGTGCCGCGTCGTCGGAAAGAGCCAATGTTGCGCGTCGGGATCGGCGACGGCTTTGTGCCCGTGCCAGTGCTGTCCTGTGTACAGCCCAGTGCATCATGGCGCAGCTGGTCCAGCATGAACATGATAAAGTTGGGCCGCTTTCCAACGTTCTTGGAGTCAACAGGCACTGGGATTGGCCGTGCCGTTTTCGAAAACGAGTCCGTGGTGGGAATAAGGGTCATGGTGACGTTGATAGTAGCTTTTGACGATGAATTCAAGTCGCCATAGTTAAAGTCCAGTCGTTCTTACTTTGCAGGACCGTGTATATGAGGCAGGCACTGTGCACGTGCGATATGATGGGGCTGTCCTATTCACAGTCCGTTTTTCCGAGTAGAGCTTCGTCTGTTCTTATTGCTATACCCTTGGCTTCACGTACACGTAAAAGGACCTAATGCCGTGCTTGGAATATTATTTCATAAACAGGAAATTTTGACCGACCGTACCGACAATAGACACCACTCCTTCTTCACTGGTACAGTGATTACTCGTCCATACCGCCAGCGACAACAGCCATTGAATGGTGACACCGTGGACCGAATTGCTTTATGTTTCAAGGTGTCGTCTTATTTACCCCCTGTGTTGTAGCGGTCTAAACGTTTGGCGCTCTGTAAAGAGAAGCAAAATCTATTTCGTCGGCCACGTTGACAAGCCCTGTCAGCACGCCAAAATTTCTCTCATCGTCGGACTTCGTTACACCACTACCCCAATTTGCGAAACGGTTCTTTCGTAGCCTTTGGCCCCGGTGCGGCCAGACTCAAACACAAAGTCTTCCCAGCGCGGCTCGACCAGCGTGTCAATGCGGTGGCACGTGGTGCCCAGCCAGCCAATGACGACGTGTAAGTCAGTGCCATCAAGCTTAAACCAACTCTTACAACTACTGGCCACCACCTTATTGGCAAAATAGCGTGCGATCCAATCATTGAAATCTATCGCGGCTTGTTATGTTGGACGGCACGATGAGTAACCATCCCGTCGCAGTTTGCACAAGACGCGAGCAATGTAGACGACGGAACTCTCGCAGTGCAGTGACACGGACCCTCCAAACGCATTGCCTTGTGTCTGGACCACCTGGAAGTGACTGGGTGTGTCGGCAGCCATGACGCCTAGGTAAGTCGCCGGATAGCCCGCGGTACCACTGGCCACCAAATATGCGCAAAGTCCTCACCGGTCGATCCAACCACAGGAAAGCGCTGATAGAAGCCGTTCTGGAAGGCCGTCACAATGACAGTTATGTCGACGTCTCGCACGGTTTTGCTTCCGGCGATCTCAATGCCTGCTGGTGTGATCCGATACTTCCCCTTGTCAAAGATCCGCATTGGGCCGCAGAAATTCCTCGAGATACTTTGGTGACGGAGTCAGACGCTTGCACCCCGGAGCATAGTTTGGCGTCAGCCGATCTACCAGGTCCTGCTGACCGCCGACGTAGCATGCCGTTCAGCAGCTGCTTCCGGAATGCTTGCACTGCCTCTTCGTCGACGTTTCAACTATAATACTTGTTCTTCATACCACGCTCCAGTTTACGATGGTAGTTCTTGTATGCAGCGCCGTCCGTCCCGAAAAAGATTCTTCTCCTTATCGGTATATTCGCGCCAGGATCGTCTTGAGCGGCCGATACCAAATCGTCACGAAACCGGGCCGTCACGTACGCCTTAAATCGCACGTAACGCAATCGAAAATCATGTCGAGTCAAAGGACACGATAAACCATGTCATCCAGATGAACGCCACAAAGGCCGCAAACTGAGGATTGCTTATTACGATCGTCGGAGCGGTGCCTGTGGCCTGGGGCAGAATAAGATGTCTGTTCCAAGATCACCATCTCCAATGAGTTGTGTTGCTTCCGTGGTATCCATCTGGGTCGAGTTGTCTGCGTAGTCAGTTTGTTGATTTTCTAAAGGTTGCTACCATAATATTCCACTTTAAAAAAGGCTATGGTGTGGTGGCCGTTACCAGTGTGCCAGTACCAGTACACCAGTACTAGAATGTCCCGTGTAATAACGAGGGGAGAATACATGTCCGAAAAGCGGACTCTTGTTTTCCTTGCAAACACACTACTCTTTTCACCAAAATAGTAATCGAGCGGTGTCGGGTCGGATTGTCCGGAGAGATGGGCTCACCAACTAATGGCTACCCTGGTGTCTGTAAGAATCATATTTTCCGAGGCAGGTCGAAGTAAAATTCTCACGTGCATGTAGTCCGACCCATTGTAATATTTATATATTCCTTTCCAGTTCTCTTCTATGTATCTTCTGCTCTTCCACTGGTACATGCTAGTCAGCAAATAAAACCGTCTGCAAGTCACCATGGCCCAGGAAGCGTCCATGTTCTCGGCAGATGATGTCGTGACCAGTTACAGCAATGGCACGGTATATCACGAGCCTGTTGAAAGAACCGTCGAAGAAAGGCAACTGCCCCCAGACTTTGCCTGGGGCGTGGCCACAGCGGCATACCAGGTCGAGGGTGCTGCTTCCCAGGACGGCAAAGGCAAGTCGATATGGGACACATTCACTCACCTAGAGCCATCTCGGACGAACGGCGAAAACGCCGACATCACTTGTGACCATTACAACCGCATGCCGGAGGATGTTGCTCTCATGTCCTCTCTGGGCGTCGAAGTTTACCGCTTCTCCATCTCGTGGTCCCGCATCATTCCGCTCGGCGGACGCGACGACCCTGTCAATGAGAACGGCATTGCCTTTTACAATAGTCTAATCGATCACCTGCTCGCCCGCAACATCACGCCCGTCGTCACGCTCTACCACTGGGATGCGCCTCAGGCGATTTATGACCGTTACAAGGCATTCCTAGATACCCAACAGTACCGTGTGGATTTCCTTCGTTACGCCCATGTTTGCTTCACTCACTTTGGAGATCGCGTCAAGACGTGGATCACCTACAACGAGCCGTACATTTGTTCCATCTTCGCTCACCTCAACGGAACGCTCGCTCCGGGGCACTGTCGCGCCACGAATAATGCCACACGCACCGAACCCTGGCGAGTCGGCCACACCATCATCCTGTCGCATGCCGACGTCGCCAACCTGTACACTTCTGAATTCCAACCTGCGCAACGGGGATCTGTTTCCGTCGTGCTGAATGGCCACTTCTACGAACCTTTTGATGCGACCACCGCTGCCGACTGTGCTGCTGCCGAGAACAGGATGATTTTCTACATTGGCTGGTTTGGCGATCCTTTGTTCCTCGGCGAGGACTACCCAGCTCGGATGCGGGCCTACCTGAAGGACCGTCTGCCAGAGTTTACACAGGAAGACCGCGACCTACTCCGCCGAACGGCCCCGCTGAACAGGTTCTACGGAATGAACCACTACTCGACAAAGTATGCGCGGGCATTGACAGACCCTCCCGAGGACGACGACTGGACAGGCAACGTGGAGGAGACGAGCATGAACAGCGAAGGCCAAGAGATTGGGCCGAAGTCGGGACTGGCATGGCTGCGGGTAGCGCCAGAGGGGTTCAGGAAGTTGCTGAATTGGGTGTGGAAGCGGTACGGACGGCCCATTATTGTCACGGAAAATGGGTGTCCCTGTCCTGGGGAGGAAGACGCTGGCGTTGCGGTTGATGATCGATTCCGGCAAAGGTACTTCGGACTGTACCTCGATGCCATTTCCAAGGCGATCTACGACGATGGCGTGCGAGTCGAGGGCTACTACGCGTGGAGCTTTATGGACAACTTTGGTTAGTTTTTTCAACCCCTTTCTCAACCCCACCGCCCATTTTTACGCAGTTCACCAGATCTTCGAAAGCTAACCTCTGTGAATACTTTAGAGTGGTCTGCTGGTTATGGGCCTCGGTTCGGCATTGTGCATGTGGACTACAACACTTTGAAGCGAACGCCCAAAAACTCGGCGTATTATTTGCGAGACACCTTTGCACGGCGCAGGGAGAGAGCTTAGGCATAGAACCAGAATCTAGAGTCTATAATCAATTGTTCTCGGTTTCTTGTCATAATATTGCACGATGTATGCTTCACCAACGTTTGATAGCTCCTGCCTCCCTGTCTCATATAAACGCGAGAAGCGTAGGAAATGGTGTGACCATAGATCCTCTTGCCTTCTTGTGCTCGAACCTAGCTTTGGATATATTCGCACACCTCTTTGGCTGACTGCAATGTTACGCCGATCTCCTACCTTCATTGTACCGACCTCAACTTGTTTATGTCTAATGCAGTTCTGTCTATCGGTGTAGTGATGCCCGAGTTACAACTACGAGTGTCCCATCGGGGTGAAGCATCGCATTTGCATCGCTTTGGATTCGCGTCCTCGGTTTATCGTTTCGATCCTCATGTCAATGGTAAAGACGCCATTTATTCGACCATGTTTTCCGACATCACCCCGCATACCATGTGGCACATGGTATATTTGACGTCTGGGAGATCGTCGGGAAACTCGTCGGAAAACAGTAGCGCAGCGATAGCGGCCAATGTATGCAAGGACTTCACTAACCGAATACAGTAACGCAGTAACGTGTACTCCGCTTCCTCCTTGGGATGTCGTGTGGCATCGTAGTCGCGAGAGAGAAAGTGCTAGTTTGGTTTTGAGAGACAAACACTTTCCGATACTCGGCGCGTTTCTGCTATTATCTGACTTTCAATTTCTTTATTTACGTTTACTTACAAATAAATACACTGAAATGAGTCGGTTAAACGAGGTGGCGCGTTGTGCGTAAACGGAAACTGCATACCCCCTCCCTTACTTCGTCTCCGATACACACGTTCTGCAATGGCGTCCGTCGTCGACGTCCGTTTCGAACACTACCATGCTCGTAACACGATCGGGATCCATGAACACTCGCCTCGCCTGTCGTGGCGAATCAAGGATACTCGGGATACTCCTGGTGGCTACAGGCAAAGCGGGTGCGAAATCGAGCTGTATGAAGTCAAGACCGGGTCGGGATCTCAACATCGCCAGTGTCTCTTGTCAACCGCAAAGCTCTCGACATCATCATCTACGCTCGTCCCGTGGCCATTTGATCAATTCCTTCGATCTCGTCAACAAATTTCTGTGCGCGTGAGGGTTTGGGACTCTGCCGACGACACCACCACCACAGCCACGCCGTGGAGCGAGCCTTCCGTTTTAGAGACCGGTCTGCTAGAACGAAACGACTGGATATGCGACCGAATCGCCGCACCCTGGGCAGGAGACGCAGCTGGACCACAGCCAGAGCACCTGTTCCGGAAGGAGTTTTTGCTTGTAAATGCTGCGGTTGACCACGCCCGTTTGTACATTACGGCCCAGGGGGTGTATGAGGCGGAAATCAATGGCCGCAGAATCGGGGATTATTTTCTTGCACCCGGCTGGACAGCGTACGACCGCAGGCTACAGTACCAGACGTATGACGTCACAGGTGACCTTTTGGCTGGCTCGAATTGCCTCGGCGTTCGCATCGCGGAGGGCTGGTTTTGCGGGCGCATCGGCTTTGAAGGCGGCCGGCGCAATATCTGGGGCCCGCACCCGGCACTAGTGGCACAGCTCGAAGTTACGTATACGGACGGCCATGTACAAACGATCCGCACTGATGGTTCCTGGATTGTCACGGAAGGCCCCATCCGGCTCGCAGAAATATACGATGGCGAGAAGTACGACGCCACAAAGGAGTTGGACGGCTGGTCGTCCGTATCTACCGCCACCTTGGGGTCCCATCAGAGCGGGTTGCCAAGACCTTCTGACTGGCAGCCTGCCCTGGTAATGCCACGATTGTCCGACGTGGTAGAGTTGACATGCGGCTTTGGCGAGCCTGTACGGCCTTTGGACGTGATCAAGCCTCTTGCGTTGATGCTGACGCCTTCGGGAAAAACGATTATCGACTTTGGCCAGAATCTGGTAGGCTATGTCCGACTTGGAAACATCAGAGGACCACGGGGCCACAAAATCACAATCTCCCATGCCGAGGTCCTGGAAGACGGCGAACTGTGCACGCGACCACTGCGTATCTGCCAGGCCGTAGACGAATTCACACTTCGAGGCAGCAGCAGCAACAACAATTCGGCAAGCGAGCAGTATCAGCCGCGCTTTACATTTCACGGATTCCGTTATGCCCAGATCGATGGATGGCTCACCGACAACGCCAGCGCTGACCTCCTCTCCTCCGTCGAAGCAGTCGTCTGCCACACAGACATGAGCAGTGCCGGGTCCTTTTTGTGCTCCGAGCCGCTTCTCAACAAGCTGTACGAAAACGTGAGCTGGGGAATGAAGGGCAATTTCTTGTCTGTACCGACAGACTGCCCGCAGCGGGACGAGAGGCTGGGATGGACGGGCGACTTGGCTCTGTTTGCGCCGACCGCGGTGCTCGTCTACGACTGTTTCGGCATGTTGCGCAACTGGCTCATCGACGTCGAGCACGATCAACGCGTCTTGGGAGGCGTTCCGCCCATGGTGAGCCCGAACGCGACGTTGCCGGATCCAGTGTGGTGCCGGAGAATCCCGTGTGCCATCTGGCACGATGTCACGATTCTCGCGCCCTGGGCGCTGTATCAGGAGACGGGCGATGCGAGCATTTTGGCGCAGCAGTACAATAGCATGCGAATGTGGATGGACAAGCTGCCGAGAAACAAGACGGGCGCCACCCACTTGTGGGATACGAGCGTGTTTCAGCTTGGTGTAAGTTGTTCATTTCTGTTTTCACAGCGTTCTTTTCCTTTGACAGACCACTAAACAAAATTCTTTCGTAGGATTGGCTCGACCCTGCTGCTCCGCCCGATCAGCCCTGGAAATCCGCCACGGACGCCAAGATGGTTGCAAACATGTTCCTCATCCAGAGCCTCGACCTGATGTCGCGCATCGCCAGCATTCTCCAAAAACCTGACGAGCAAGCCGGTCTGTACGCGGCAGATGCCGTCGCCACACGTACACAGTTCCACCAAGAATACGTCACCGCAAATGGCCGGCTCGTCTCCGACAGCCAAGCTGCCTACGCCCTGGCCATGGGTCTCGACATTCTCGTCGACCGCGAGCAGCGTGTGCGTGCCGGTGCCCGTCTCGCGGAGCTCGTCCGCAAGAACAACTTCCGCATCGGTACCGGGTTTGCCGGTACGCCGTTTGTATGCGAGGCGCTAGCCGCGACTGGCCATGCCCAGGTGGCGTTTTCGATGCTGCTAGAGCGCGGCTGCCCGTCGTGGCTGTACACTGTCGAGCAAGGGGCGACAACCATGTGGGAGCGCTGGGACAGCCTGCTGCCGGACGGGCGGGTCAACCCGGGCGAGATGACGAGTTTCAACCACTATGCCTTCGGGGCGGTGGCCAAGTTTCTGCACGAACGGGTGGCAGGGCTACGACGGGTTACACCGGGGTGGACAGAGTGTGTTGTCGAGCCGGCGGTAGGGGCCACCTTTACGTCGGCTTCGTCAGAACACGTCACACCGCGCGGAACCATTTCATGTTCTTGGAAAACTCACGTACTCAACCAAGCTGGTACAGAGGGCCTAGAGGCAATGGAGTTGAGCATCACAGTGCCCAGGGGTACCACCGTTAATGTCGTTCTTCCGACATGTGAAGGCACAAAAACACAGTCTGTCGGTACCGGTTACTGGTCGCTAAAGACGGAGTTTAAGAGGAACTACAAATGGCCTGTTCCAGCTTTGAAGCCAAAGTCGTAAAATGTTTATCAGCTTTGTGTATATTTTCTATTGAATATTTACAGCACTTGTGACATTCAGTCCGGAAAATCAAGAAAAGCTCAGCTTCAGTTTCTGCAAAAGTCACTCTTCTCTCTACATACAAAGGAGTCTGTCCGGTTCTCTCTTCCACCCTCTTCCCTTCAACTCTGGCACACGTCTCCTTTCCTTGCTTGTTCCATCTCCCACCTTCCTCTCATGTCCCACTTAGCGGACTTGTCCACTCGACTCCATCAACCGTCGTAGTGAGTGATCCATTCGATGTCAAGACGTTGGCCTCCACGTTAATCGTGGCTTGGTACCCACTGGGGCCAGTCTTTTTCGTCGCGTTCACGGACCCGGACTGGGTAAAATCCGAATACCAGTCAAATGAGAAGACATAGACGTTGGCAACAGACGCCGCAACACGCTCATGGCCGTTTAGATAGCTATGTCCATCGTCAGAACAATTCCTATACTCAACGGACACGGTTCCAATTTGGGACGTGGTGTTGCCCCAGGTGAGGTTCACTGTGGCATATCCTGACGCCTTGCCGTGCAGTGTGTAGATGCCCGAGGCAAGGCGGTCGCTCTTGGGAACGGCGCTTCCCGGGACGTAGGGCGTGCCCCAAGGGATGACGTCATCGTGTTCTGACACGGGCACGGGAAGACTAGGTTTGCGGCTCGTAAACGTGGCCACGTACAAGCGGTAGTCGCGGCCGCCGGGCTCCTTGGACGGGTAGCATGGCAGTGGATTGGTGCCGCCACAGTTGGGCGAGGTGGTATGCGTCTGCCAGAAGACGAGGCGGGTACTGTCCAGTGACCAGCGCGGGTCGGCCATGCCGTTCCACTCCGGATCGCTGATGCTGCCGCTACCGGGGACACCGTTGTTGCTATCATTGACGTACTTGAAGCCATACACACGGTCCTGGATGATTCTCTGGCCGTTGTAAGCGCCGCGGTCGCCGTAAAAGTCGAGCAAGTACGGCTCGAAGAAGCGCCGCACGCCGTTGTTGCGGGTCGACGAGGGAAGCACAGACGCGACAATGTCGACAAGCGGCGGGATACCGCGCATACCGGCAATGAACATTTGTCGGCCACTGCCGCGTGTGTCCATGATGGCAATCCATTTGTTGTCCGGGGAGAACGCCACGGGGTCACAATATTCGGGGTTGTCCGTCAGACGGCGGACCGCACCTGTTGTCAGATGAACAGCAAACACATCGACGTTGCAACTCTCCCATGAATTGCCGATGTAGGTGATCTCACTTCCATCTCCGTTGAAGCCGCGTGATTCGCCAACGGTGATAGCCGAGTAGTTGATGGCGAGTCTGTTGCCATCAACAACGCTCATGAATGCCGGCTCCTCAGTGCTGTACAATCCCGTGACATTGACCACATCGTACCGCGGTGCCAATGGAATGCCCGTGTTGGGCGACGGGTTGAACCGGATGCGAGCAAAGTACGCAAGCTCGCCCAAGACGCCATCGCTGAACGTAAAAGCGCTGAACTCGATGTGCGTATTGTCGGGATGCAGCCTCTGCTCTCGGAGAGCCCCTGTTGCCCCGGACCCGTCTGCTGTGACGCCCCAGTAGAGCGGGTAGATAAAGGTGTTGTTGGGCGTGCATTCCTCGCTTGCCACCTGGTGAGGGCCACAGTCCAGCACATTTTTCCCAATCAGCAAGCGGGAGCCGTCCCGGAACGCCTGTGGGTAGTAGTACTGCGCATTGTCGATGCCGACAGCGTTCTCGGCCGGCACGCCACACGTCACGCACTTCCAAGGATCGCCGTTGTGGAACGTGGTGTCGTCAGCCTTGACAAGAATCACGTGCATGCCCGAGTAGATACTGGCCGAGTCAGGAGCGTCAGGGGCGCCGACAAAGGTGACCTGGGCCAGAACGTGCTTGCCGTCTGGAAGGAAGTCACCGGACTGGAAGGTGTTGAAGACACCATTGGCAATACAGCCGGTCCCGTTGGGGTTGATCTCCTTGCTGCATGCGCCGGTACTGTTGCTGGAAACAACTGGTGGCAGTGGCAGCGCGGTGATGGAGACAGGCTCGGGAGACGGGGGATCTGGGATAGAGGTGGACGCAAGCACTGTCGACACTGAGACCGCTATGAGGCCAATGGCCATGGCATTAGTTTTGACGAAGTAAAACATGTTGGCGATAACGTTTAAGAAGGGGCAGCTTGCTGAACAAAGTCACCGGAACTTGGAAAGAAAAGACTAACGGAGCAGCCAATTTATGTGTTTATTTTCCTGGCTTATTTGCTCACTTCAGTTTCTATATTACGTCCCTGACTTATGTACATCTATTTCCATGTCTCCTTCCACCTTCCGAATTAATCTCTTCGTGCAGCTCAGGACTGGACATCGTAAACATTCCTTGACGCTCACCCCTTCTCCCGCAAATTGAATTGACGTAGAAGTTAGTCAATGCTTCGAACCCGTAGATGTGTATCCACCGACAACAGCTCAAGAGCTTGTGCTCTGTACGATTTACCTACCGTCTCGCAAGCATTCATAGCCGACCACACTCGGTTGGTCATTGCCACGAGGACGAACATGCCTTTGTGTAATTACGGTAGCATGATTCCTGTCCTGAGCTAACATACTCCGCACTTTCTTCCCGCTAGCTTGGTGCAACCAAACTGCCGTTCGCGTCGGAAAACACTGTCGGAGAACCTAAACAACTGTGTGGGTCTAAAATGCCGTCTTGAGGGTTACGATAGATCGTGTGGAGTGGGCGGGGGCCCGTGGGGTTGGATCGATATTTTCAGCATTTTCATTATTCTGTGCGGGGAAACCCACTGTCGGAATACGCCGTCGGAAAACAATTGCAACTTTGGTGGAACATTTCAGACGATTACACGTGCAGTTCATCAATACCTGTCTCCGTCCATGACGATCTTCGGTTGAACTTTCAGCGAGACGAGGAGATACGAAAAAATATCCAGGACGCAGGTGGCGAAACTTCAAAGCCTAGACCAAAACCAACATGTCCGGATTTGTTCAACAAGCCCAGCTGCGCCATATGTTCTTTTGATATTAAAATGAGTCGACCATCCATCCACGAGAAACCAGGAAACATCAACAACGACAACAAGACTTGAACTATCGCCTCAATTATGGTAACAGAAAAACAAACCGACGTTGCCGAAGCCATCGAGCGTGTTCCGGATGGCAGCACCCTGAAAGATGCCGTCATGGACGCCGCGTTGAAGGGCCAGGCAACGACAGGCTACGAAACTATGACGCCGTGGGAGACGATCAAGACGTTCAAGATCAGCACCCTCGCATGCTTTGCCGCGGCATTTAGTGCTGCTACAGATGGATACCAGATTGGGTGAGTCAATGAGTGGCATTTGTTAAGGGAACAATGAGACAGACACTGACAACGGCCTCAACAACAACAGGATGAACTCGGGCATCGTCGCCAACAAGGCATTCGTTAAGCAATTCGCCACCACCGTCGACGCCAAAGGCCAGCCGGCTCTCGCGTCCCCGGTCCTCGCTGGTTGGAGCTCCGTCCAGTCCGTCGGCCAGATCATCGGCATGGTGGGCCTGTCCTTTGTGTCCAGCCACTTCGGCCGCAAGGTGGCTATGTACACATACTGGATAATTTTGGCTTGCAGCATTGTGGCCGAGTCAGTAGGCCGATCATGGCAGGCGTGGCTCGTGGCGAAGCTGCTTGCGGGTATCGGCGTCGGGTCGATGCAGTCCATCTTGCCGACGTACATTTCCGAAGTGGCGCCGGTGCGCATCCGCGGTGCCCTGCTCATGATGTACAGCCTGTGGTGGACACTAGGCACCTTCTTCGCCTACACTGCTATGCAGACCCTCAACAAACACCACCCGGACGTCTACCTCATCTCCATCTACACCCAGTGGGCCCAGGTGGGCATCATGCTCATCATCTACATCTTCCTGCCCGAGTCGCCGGCCTGGTGCGTCACACGCGGATACATGGACAAGGCCCGGACCTCGCTGAAGCGGCTCAACAAGGGCGTACGGGACTTCAATCTCGACCACCAGCTGCAGGTGCTGGTCCTGACTGTGGAACACGAGCAGGCCGTGGCGGTCGAGCAGCGGCGCGAGCACTGGTACTCCATCTTCCGCGGTGTTGACGGATTCCGCACGGTGGTGACGTTGTGGACCAACCTGTCGCAGCAGTTCATCGGAAACACGCTGTTCGGCACCTTTGGCACATACTTCTTCCAGCAGGCCGGGCTGGCGGATCCCTTCAAAATCAAGTGCATCACCGAGGCTGTTCAGATTGCCACCGTCATCATTGTCGTTCTCATCTCCGATTATTCGGGCCGACGATTAATTGCCTGTTCGGCCACAACACTCATGTGGTTGGCCTGTGTCGCCATTGGCATTCTGGGTGTCGCCCGCCAGGTCAAGGCAACCAACTATCTTCTTGTTTTCTTTGCGTGCTTGTGGAGTAAGTGACCCTAAATTTCTCTCATCTAAAGACCGCGCGCAATACTGATGAACAACCATTACAGATGTCGGCGTGACAGCTAACGGAGCCGCAGGATGGGGTTACATTGGTGAGATCTCGTCCCAACGCCTGCGTCCGTACACTGCTGGTTTTGGTGCCGCCACCACCTGTGTGGTCGGCGTCGTCATGGGCCAGCTGACGCCGTACATGGTGAACTCGAGCAAGTGGAACTGGGGCCTCAAAACGGGCTGGTTCTACGCTGGCGTTGGTCTTCCTTTTGCCGCCGGCATGTGGCTGTTAATTCCTGAAACCGCTGGCCGCTCCGCTGCTGAGCTGGATGAGCTGTTCGAGCGAAAGATTAACCCGTGGCGCTTCGCCAAGACGGAGACGGCCATTCAGAGAGTGGTCCAGAATGAGAAGGAGCAGTCGTAGGCCCAGCACTGGTGGTGGTATTGAGTTGTACTATGGAACTTTGGACGTGTGGTCGTTTTTTGTCGTCAAACGTATCGTCAACGTTTTGTATATTGTATACCAGAGTCTAAGTTGGCATATCAGACTGACCTTACATCGCCTTGTGTAGCTCAACAGTGGACTATCATCGTTGAGGTTGTGTTTGTATCGATGTTCTCAATAACCGTGGCACTCAACAAGCATACTCTGGCCTGTTACGAAAACGAACTGCATCAGACCACCGTCAAATCTTCAAATCTCCCGCATGAAAAATTCCCCCCTCTTCGTCCGTCACATCCATCTCTTCTCTGTTCTGTATGGCCTGCCCATAATCGAGCACAAATCGCAACATCCACCGGTCCAGCTGGAACGACTGCTCTTTGCACCGCAAGCATGCGTTTTGGAACGCACGCAGCCGGCCCAACGAAGCGTCGACGCAAGGCCAATACTGACGCAGGGTGGTAATGATTTCAAAGTTGCGCTCCAGGCGGTCGCGCGCGGCGGCGATGGCATCCTCGTCCGCGCTGAAGAGTAGCGTGTAGATCTGCACAGTCGACGCAATGACAAGCATGTGGCCGACGAGTGAATATGACACGTCCGTATCAGGATGCCTACGAGCATTGTAGACAAGTGCACAGAGCGCGGCGGCGTGACTTGTGCATTTTTGGGCATAAAGGCTGGCGAACGCAATGGGCGGCGCGGTGGTCGTACTGGGAGAGGAATAGGCATCCACGCCGTCTGCATCCGCATCCTGGTTCCAGTGCAGAAACTGGTAAAAGAGCAACTGGGCAGCGTAGTTGTAATTGAGGTGCAGGATGACAAAGATGCGGCCAAAACCTAGTTTGGCCCAGTACGCCAGATTGGCTGGGGTGTTGCGCATGTCCGGGGGGAGTGAGCCAGACCAGTCGTCGAGACAGACACTGAGAGAACTAATGGTTGGTTCAAGGGCCACAGCTTGCATGCGACCAGCTGCAACATCGGCGTTCATGCATGTAATCCTGTAGAGCACTTGGTTGAGCTTGATCATCTGGGCAATCAACGAGTGTTTGGGAAAATGCGGCCGTTGTAGTGTTTTGGAGGTGGGCTGGCTTAGAGATCTCACAGCTCCGTTTTGGTCTTCGTCCGTGTCTTCGTATTCATCATCCGGTTGCAGACCGATAAAGGTCCGTTCATCCATTGGCATCGGGATAGTCGTGTCGTCTCCTTGTGGAGAGATTGCCCGTTGTATATTGAGTGCAGAGGACGACCAGGTGTCTGTTGCTACGATGGACCACCACACTATCGGGTGTGTACATTGTCAGGATGGGCAGCCGTTTGTAGTGGGATATCAGGCATCAGTCATCGTCAACTTACCTCGGAGATTGAGTTCCCTTTGTAGGGGCGTCGCCGCCGCGGCATTGGGCAAGTCCAAGATCAGAGCCATCCGACAGGCAATGCTAAAGAAAACGGACTCCGTGGCTGGCTCTCCCTCCACAGCGGAAATGTGGCCGAGCAACATGCAAGCCTGGATCGTAGTCAACGAAGAGTCATGGAGATCAAGCAACCGCTCCGTCTCCTGTGCATATGGACGACCACGTGTCCGGGGATCGATGTCCGCAAGGCTGGCGTGAGTGGAGAAGCGGGCACAGAGTGCGGCTGCTCCAAAGAAGAGGATCTTGGGAATAGTTCCATTCTGCACGGCCGCCGTAAACGACGGGCGGTGGAAGACGTTGTGGGAGGCGACATGGATGTAGCGGAAGTAGAGGTCGACCAGCTCGGCAGACAGGCCAGCGTCAATACTGATTGCACTTGCGTCCTCTCGACTGCATAGAGGTTCGTATCCTTGTTTGCTTGTGTGCCTGGCATCGACACGATCCTCCTTTTCGGACGGGGACATGCGGTCCAACGCGCTGACACAATCAAGGCCCCGTGCAACGCAGAAGTTGCAACTGATTCCTTGGCGCCGGCGGTAGCACTTCTTTCGCCGATCTCTGCAATTGTGTTCCATGGTTAGATATAGAACATGTGAATTACAACATAATGGAGACGAAGATCAAGAGGAGGTACTTGCCGGCAAGCTATGCATGATGTCCGTGGTCGCATGGTAAGACCGGCTCCTGGTCGTTTAGGAGTAATCAACTGTTATTAGCAGTCAGCCAGCAAATGTACTTGTAAATTTACTCGTAACGTTGGTTAAGCAGGCTGATATGGTCTGCTTTTGGTTTGTCTACGTCTGGAGAGAGGACTATGACATGAATAGTGTCGTCGGCCGGTATTCATCCGAAGCTCCAACGACTAATGCCTTGTATTTCAGGCACCAACTCGGTTATCAACAGCACGTGTCTGCACCATTTGTATACAAACTGTCGTACAGATATTACAAAGTCTGTTGCGTACGATCCGTCATTTATTAGAGGCTCCCCGGTGCCGCTTACACGGTTATAAGCAGCTTGTCAATAATTGGTCACGGCGTTACGTTTCCCACGCTGCTCGTGGCCCAGCTGGCGACCTATACAGCCTAGACAAAGAAGTCGTTTTCACGTTCACTTTACTATTGTTTACAAAACTTTGGTCATATTCTTGGCGTGGCTGTCAATAGCTGCGTGACACAGAATACGCTCGCCTACTACCACGAGTACCTCATTCCGGGTCTGGACAGGGCGGCTGTGGTTGACACGAACCCATCTGCTCGTGATTGATGTTCCCGTCCAGTTTTACAAGGGACAGTCCATCGGCGACTGTTGCGGGCCATACACTGGACATTCTTCCAGTATGCGGTCACGGCTGAGCTGAAAATCCCAGGAAACACAAACAGCATCCGTATCCAGCGGCCACTCGACTCCTCCAGCCCACAGCCCAGAGTTTGTACGTCTCTGTGTTTCTGTGTTTTGTGTTTACGTACTTTCTTGCTTAAGACACAGTCGCGGCTCGCGTCGACAACAACAGCCCAAGGAAGATGAATCATCGCGTATCGTCCCCTGAAGCAGGCTCGGGAATGTATGGGGTTTTCTCTTTGGCGTCTCATTTGTTGGACATTTGTGAAGATTAGGGAAGCATTCTTTGTTCCTGCTCCTGCAACAGCATTCGTGCGGTATATATGTATTTACGATGATTTACCAAAGAAAATTTCTTACCTCCATTACACCATCTCCTTCTGACGAACTACTCTTTAATTCCTGGTATTTTCATGTTATGAGGCTATTTTAGTTTAATTTCGTGTAGCCTTCAACTGCCTCGTCACCGTCTATACCTTTTAAACTATGCCCTGTTTTTTATTTACAGCCTGCTTCATGCCTTCCATCTGATGCCACGATTTCCACCTCGCCGCGTCAGCCGCTAACCTGTTGTATGCCCCTCTCAACCTCTCTCGGGGGCGGTATATAACTCTCGCTTGCCCCTCGCGCAGCATCCCAAACATCCACGCCTCTATTCTTTCCAAAAACACTTACACAAACAACCAACACTCAAACACTCACGTATCACAGCTGAATCACCACCACCATCCATCACTGTCTATCTCCGACAAGACAAGCTGGATTCCCACAGAAGACTGCCACCCTCTCCACGTGCAATCGGCCCGCTTCCGTATCCAGCCACCAAGGTTATCATCGGCCAGTACCTGTCCGCTGGCCTCCAGGACAACGTTGCCTTTTGGGGTTGGCTTATCGAGGCAGCGTTCTACAACGACAACGACGACAAGCTGTGGGCAACAAAGATATTCATTTTACAGAAAGCTTTCTAAACAGGAAAAAAAAAAATGACATTCAACGGCTTTGGCGGTGGGAGTGGAGGTGGTGGCAATCCACGGTACGGTCGCGACTCCAATGGCCCGCTCCCACCAGCCACAGGCTTTCCTGCTGCCCGCCCTATGCCATACTACACGACCGCCATGCCTGGAGGATGGCCGTATGCCCAGCCGCAATATATCGGGCATGTCCCCATGACCTTGCCGGGTAACCAGGTGTACCTGACAGCGGCTCCGCCCAACAGCGCTCAGATCCCCATGATCAATCAACCACCCGCCCTCACTCAGGGCCAAGGCCCACAGCCCGCTCTCGACCGCAGTTTTCGCACTTGCAGCATGCGCAACACCACCGGCGGCTTCGGCTGTGAGCCCGGCTACAACTACTTTTTCCCTGCCGAGCACACCAAGATCCATGTCTTGAAGACTGGCCCGACGCCGCCCTGGCAGCTGCCGCCCAACTTTACCATACAGTTCCACGCCACGCACGTGCCCGTCAACACCACTGTCGCCGAGCTCATGAAAGGCTTTGGTGCCAAGAATCCGCTGCCAAAGAAAAACATTATTACCGAGGTGTGTCCTGGCGGCGGTGGCAAGTGGTACAAGGGCATTGAGGTCAGCGGTGACAATCTAGACATGATGAAGAAGCCTATCAAGGAGCTGGGCTGGGATGGGACACGAACGGGTCTGCGGGGGCAAAAGAAGGTTGTCTATGTGTACGTTCAAAGAGGCTGATGAATTGTATTTGCAACTGCGTTTGCAGCTGCATTGGAGTTTACAAGCTAGAAATTCGGTCATGTAAAGATAGTGTTGTTTTGTTGATGGCGATATCGTCACTAGTTTGTTTTAACATCAGGTAGGGCAAGGAGGACAAATGTCTGGCTTTTAGAATGCATACTTTGGTATGAGAAATGTTGGAAATAGGGACGGTAGCTGTTCGTGAGCGTAGGAATTTTATCACTTCCAATTTCAGCGAAGATTAGTCTCTACTATTAGAATTGTTTTCAGGTTTTTACTAACCAAGTTACTGCTCGTTTATGTTACGTATATAGTTATTAATGTTTTTTAAAAAACTAATATTTCCTAAACACTGCCTTTTTCTTTTTTTTTAAAAAAAAAGAAGAACAAAATATAGAAAAACAATAAAGCAAATAGAAAACCACTGACTTCTTATGTTCCAGCTGAACAATTTACAAGTTTTTTCGTGAGCCACGAGATTCCCACTTTCTTTTTCACCTTTTGGTCAAATTACTAGAATGAATTGAAAACAGACAAAAGAAATCGTATTGTAAATGTACATAATAAACATACAACTCAACGTAGCGTATACGTCTACCAGCCTTAAGTACTTCACCAAGTTTTAAGATTCAATAACTACTAATCAGTTGATACCTCTGTCTTGCCCCCCTTAATAGCCGTAGTAGCGCGGCTCGTCAAAGACGTGGTAGCGGTGGCCACGCACACCTTCACCGCGGAATAGCGCGGGGAAGCGCCAGCCGACAGGTACCTCGGACTCGTCGACACGGCGATTGCGCACTTCCTCCTCGACATCAAATAGATACTGCGCGCGCTGGGCGTCAGCGGCCTTGTCAGGGACGACAAACTTGGCGACCTGCAGCTCGGTGTCGGTAATAGTGCTGCGGCTGATGCGGGCGTAGCCGACGCGTTGCAGGCCCTTGAATAGAATATACTCGCACCAGCGGTCCCAATCGGTGGGATCGACGTCGTGCATACCCGACTTGTCCGAAACGTAGGTATTATAGTTGCCCTCGAGCGGCTTGGTCACCAGGTAGCTCAGCAGGAAGCTGGGACGGTCGGTGCTTCCCATGAGCTTGGCCAGGTACTCGGACTGCAGGCGACGGTCCTCGGGGTCTTCCTCCTGGCCCGAGTGGAAGACAAAGACGTCGACCAGGGTGCCGTGGACATCGAGGGTGGCGTGGATGGCGGGGGCCAGCTCGCCGACGGGGCTAGGTAGTAGGTGGTGGGTCGAGTTGACAATGGGGAACTTGGACAGTAGAGCAGCGCCCCAAGTGTGCTTGTTGGGACCCGGACCGTAGTCAACATACATGCCCAAGTCCTCAGCGAGGTACTGCGTGGTGTCGCGGTTGCCCATGATGATGCGCTGTAGGTCGCTCTCCAACAAACCCACAACATCTAGCTCGGCCTCCTTGATGAGATCACGCATGCGGCGCTCGGAGCTCCACATGTCGTTGTCCAAGCTAAAGTGGATGGTCCAGATACCGGCCGTGATGACACGGTCGTCGGCATGGTAGCCCTTGTAGTCATTGCTAGGGAAGCGCATGAATGCGGCACACAGGAACAGGATATTGAGAACGCCAGTGACACCAAAATAGTGCTTGCGGTGGCGGGCAGGTAGGGCGTTGCTGGCGACGCGCTTGGCGTACTTGGCGGGGCGTTGGGTAGAGCGGGCAGTGTTGAGGTTGAAGATACCGCAGCCGATTAGCAGCATGGTGACAGTCATGATCCAGTCGGTATGTTCACGGACAAGGGGACCACCAGGTACGAAGGCATAGGCGACAACCCACACATGGAAGAGAACCATGAAGTTGTAGACAAGGAAGCCCAGGCCAAAGGTCAGGGCCGGGCTCTTTTTAGACGAGGCCGAGATCAACGGTACGGACAGGGCCATGAGATACGTGGCCAAGACAAGGGCTCCATAGTAGCCGAACCAGTTGCTGTAGAGGGTGAGCACAGCGGCGCCGACCGATGCGACGCCGAAGGCGGACCAGGACGACGCAAGACCTGGCACAACCACACCAAAAACAATGCCGCCAGTCATGGCAAAGATGGTGTAGTAGGCGTGGATGTTGGAGAGGGGGCCGCGGACCGGGTAGCCCTCCCAGACCCACAGAATCATGGTGCTGGTGTCGGACAATAGAGAGTGCAAAGCGAATAAGAGACCGCCGAAACTCAGGGCGAATAGGGCCGAGGACGGACCAGTTGTCCGGTCCGTAACGTCGCCGCCAGCAGCAGCCGGACGTCTGCGGGTAAAGCGCAGAGCAGCGAGGATGGCCAGGACGAGACCAGTGCCGTTCCAGCCGCCGTTCTCGGCGTGCATGATAGGCCAGATGGGGTTGTTGGTGTGCCAAGCGAACTTGGCGATGCTGGACATGAGAAGGCCGATGACGAAGGCAAGAACGCGGGACTCGACGCGGGAGTCATGACTGGCGTCGGCGTAGAAGGTGGCGGCCCAGCCAAGGCACTGCAGGGAAACACCGAAGCCGATGGTGAAGAGGCGGTAGACGGGGTCGTGGACCATATAGGCAGTGAGGCCAGCAAGCGACAGCAGGTGAACGAAGCGCAGGTTGCGGACGACGAGGGTGCGGAAGGGACGGATGGCAAGCAGGAAAGGCGAGATGGTGGACATGACAAAGGCCTCGTAGCCTGAGATGCCCATGTGCCACAGCGGGAAGTACCAGACGGTCAGACCCAGGCTGGTCAGGACGGACCAGAAGGCGAAGCCGTGGTAGACATCGGCGGCAGCATCTAGAGCCTCACTAAGGGTGAAGGATGTGGAGAAGACGCCGGCGGTGGCCTTTTCCTTTTCACGGTCAAGCGGGGGAGATCGGAGGGCACTGCAGGAGAAGAGAAGATTTAGAATGGTGGTCCTGGGAGGTGGCGGCAGCGCATGGGGACGGCAGAGAACGAGGGGCAAGGAGGGCAAAGTCGATAGGACGACGGGCCAAAAGACGGTCAACAAGAGAGCGGGCAAAGACACGAGTATTAGAGACTGGGGGGCATTTGGTAGGGAGTGGTGGTAAATGTCGCGTTGTACTTTTCGCGTTTGACATTCTCTGGCTCTGTTCCTCTGTCCCCTGCCCCTTGTGTCCCCCCTTCGTGCTCGTGATGATTTGTTTCTGCACCCCCTGGCCTACTTGGGAAGCCATTGCACGTACCCCTTGCTGATCCCCTTGGTATCTTTGACGACGAGCTCAAAGGTGTCGAAATCGAGAGCGGTAACGGCATCGAAAGCAACATCGAAGAGGACGAGGGACCACTCGAAGAAGGCGTAGATCGTGTAAGCTAGCAGCAAAGAAGGAGCGTCAGCGCGAGCGTTGATAAAGCGAATATTAGTACCTTGGAGGGTAGGAGGCTTACCACCCGGAACGCGGTGCACCTTGTGCTGGATGAAAAAGTAGACGAGCGGAACAATGGTGCCAAAGAAAGCGCCGGCGACATATTTGCGGTATTTGATGGCAGTGGCGTTATTGGGGCTCAGGGCCAGGCAGCCAAACATCCAGGGGATGGTGGCCACGAGATACGAAATCATAAAGATGTCGTGCCAGTCGTGGTTGTCGGTTGAGGTGACGTAGGTCCAGCCGCCGCAGGTGAAGGTGCGGAAGACGCCAAAGTATGCAACGGTCTTGGGCAGGGTGCGGCCGGGCTTGGCGGTCAGCAGGTACCAGAGGCCGACGAGGGCGAAGCGCGGGCCGGAGGTGAGGGCGATGAAGAGCATGAAGAAGGAGCGCTCGGGGAAGCGATCGCCGATGGTGGCGGAGACGGACGGGAACCATTCTTCGGGGTAGCCGAACCATTCGTTCTGGACGATCTTTGTGTAGTGGAGGGAAACACCGACGAAGAGAGCACTAAGGAAGGCGGCTGGTTGTGTTAGTCGAGGGAAAAGAAGCATAACGAGGTATTACGAGATCGAGACGAGTTCGGTCACTCGTTCTTACCATATGCAGCGCCGGTGTGCAGCCAGCTCACCCATTGGCCATTGAACGAGAGAAGCACGCCGGCGTCTTTGTCCTTGTACTTGGACGCCATGATGGGCGGGTGCGTGGAAGGGTGAGGTAGTGATGTGTGGTGATGTCTGGTGGCAAAGAGAGAAGAGAGGACGATAAAAAGGAGAAGAGAGTGCGGACCAAGAAAGCTGTGAGCCCATGTCTCGCACCAACCGCAGCTGCCGCGCAGGCGCGTTGGAGCTGGAAGCCTCGGCCCCCCCTGAAAGGGAGAGCGTCCCTTATGTCAGCCACTGTTGTCCAATGAGAGAAGCGCATTGAAGTGGACCTTAATTTGGAGTCGAGCAACGCGTTAACACGTCGTCCAGATCAGAATCCACTCACTACTGGCTTTGATTGGTCTTTTGTGCAACACGTTTGCTGCGCCGCAATTCTTCAGGCTCCACTAGCGCCGTGGGCCCTGAGCTCTCCCCCGACCCCCCTGTCGACGTTACCTGCACCGGCTGGCTCTGGGATGCATCTTCGCTCGGCACCGAAGTACCGCGCTCAGCTGAGTTGGACGGGTCCTCCTCCCCTTCATTGCTGGCCTGGCGGTGAGGCTCGGTCGACTGAGTGGCCGGGGAAGTCCGGTGACGCCATCGCTGGATGCGGTCTTTGAGATACTATCCTCCAGCCGCAGCCACTACACCCAGCGACCAGGTCACCAGAGTCTGGGCCCTCGGCGTCTGTGACATTTTCTCAAGCGCTTCTGCTTGTCTTACCTGCGCTGCGGCCTTTGTGACTTGCGCAGCGGCGATGGTTTCAAATGCTTTGGCTATGCGCAGGAGCGCAGGATCGTTGTCCTCTGCGGCGGCTGCAGCCGAGAGTGTGCTCGTGAGGAATCCGTCCATGTTGCTTAAAGTACGGAGTAAAAGGAAATATAGAAAGGAACAAAAAAATACGGACACAGCTTGGAGGAATGGGACAGTTGCAAAAAATTTACAAGTTTACGGGTGGGCATGACCAGGTCAATCCAGCAGAACTAGCAATCAGCAGAGCAGAAACTCAGCACACCAGCTTGTTTGTCGTCCCTTTCCAATACACCGTTTTAACTGGACGGAAAAAGATTTTTTGTTGGGAATAGATTTGCACTATCGGTTGAAAAGAGGAAGGAGCGATGGGAGCCAGAGCAGAAGTACATACCTTGTCTGCGCCAACTTCCAGCTCCTAGTTGTGATCCTCGGCGAACAAGTGCAGTTGAGAAGACGAACAATAAAAAATCGAGCATACTAGACAGACAAATCGTCCTAATTTTTTATTTTCAATACATCTGCAGTCGTCTCGTTTTATACCGGTGTGCAGATCTTGCCTGCATCTGCCAAACTTTGCATTAGGTACTTTCAAGTACCACGCATCTGCAGGATATGTAATTGCCCAAATCGGAAGGGACGCGTGACAGTTCTGTTGAGCGCGCAGGGCCTGTTGTGGCAAGCATTCTTGAGAAACGCCTGTACTTTCAGGGTTTTTTGCCTTTGCAGTGCTTCCCATAGCCCCAGTGACCCAAGGTAGCTAAAGAACGGGGACCTTTACGACTCCAAGACTTGGAGACTACAGTCAATCGCTAGAATGTGTACGTAGTATCATGATCATACTATAAAAGTATCTAGTCTACCGACTCGACCGTCTCGTTTAACATCGACGTCGTACGTACCCCCTACCTTAACGAGCAACTCGTGTCGTGGCTCCTCACCCTACTATCACTCACGCTTTGCGCCTATATTCTCTTCCACATCCGTGACACCAACATTAACGTCAGGAGACTGTCTTGGTCGAGGATTTGGCACCTGAGAAGCTCGAGGGCATTCGCATACCTAGCGGCCATAAAGCCAGTGCGCACCAGACCAAACCGAGACCACTGTTAGCACCCATATGGAGGATAACACAAAGACGGTGTAAACAAAGGTGGTGTACCAAAGGTGGATGGAATATCAAAGGGAAAAAAAGGTGCCGCCACTGTCGAACAATGGGCAATAAAGAATAAAGAATGAGTCTACTTGAAAACAGTAGCCTTTCTTTCATGTGCATTCACTACAGATGTCTTTCAGATCCTAGTTGCGCCGTTGATGAAACAATACTCCCAAGGACTAGTGAACAAATCAAGTAACAATGGCGATATCAAAGGCAACGTAAACATCTCGAGTAATTTTTTTTTAAATAATCACCGACCGTATGTACTATAGTAGAGAGTCATTATTCATTTAAATACACCAACCCGCCGTTCTCTTTCCCTTTTCACTTTCACACAATTTATTTAGACATTTTCCGAAATAAAACGAACCAGCACCAAACACTACGCTGTCTTGAATCATTCATCCCATCTCATCTTATTTCTCATACATTTCGCGATGCCCGCTGTTTTCTATCGCATTTTATTCTTTTTTCTCTTCAAGAGAAGGTGGAATGGATGTTAAACCAAAATAGCCCGTAGGGTCCGGCCCCAAAAGATCGCGTTCATGCGAGGAGTTGTTGACCAGTAGTCAACTGTTGACATATGGACACCGAGGGTAACGTCCTCAAGTACGATTACAGTCCGATTCACCACTTACAGCACAGATAATATAACTAGTATTGATCAGATAAACGCTTTCACAGACACAAGCACGTCACTCTATATCTTCCTAGCAAACGCAACCGTCGCATTACCGACCATCTTGGCCGGGACGGAGGGATACCATTCTTTCAAATCGCGCACCATCAATTCATGCGTCTTTAGCACCTCCTCCTCCGTCATTTGTCCCACCACCCTGGAGCTTAGAGGCAGCTTCGTCAGGATGAAGCGGCAAGCCTCGTCATAGTCGTCAAAGGGCCAATACCCCTCCGTCTCCAGAACTTCAATCTCCTGGAACCCTGCTTTCTCCAACTGCGCCGTCACGCCGTCAACCGACGTCCACGTATTTGGCAGCCTCGGCATCACCAAGTCCGGCCGCACCTTCTTCGGGTAGTACATCAGGTCCATCCAGTGGCTGCTCGTCCATGCCGACATGGACAGAACCCCACCCGGCGTAAGCGTACGCTTCATCGCCTGTAGGGCCTGCTCCGGCGTGGGGACGAAAAACACCAGAAAGCCTGCTAGCATATGACTGACGGAGCCATCGGAAAACGCGGCGCAATCGGTGACGTCGGTCTGCACCGTCTGGGCACGGGACCAGTACGCATTGCCACTGTCGACCTCCTCCTGCTTACGCTTGTTGTAGCTCTCCAGCATCTGCGCGCTCAGGTCCGCACCGACCAGCGTGGCCGTCGGTGGAAGCGCAGACAGGTGGTCCTTTAGTACGGTGTCGGTGATTTGGCCCGGCCCGCAGCCCATGTCTACGACGATGGTCGCCTTGGAGAAGGGGAGCAGCTCATGGGCGCGCTTTACCATACGTGCCGCTGGGGCAACCCCCGGGCCCGCAGTGGCAAGCTTCATAAACTGACTGGAAAATGCGTTCCATTCAGCTGATGTAATGGCTGGGGCGTATTAGTTGTTGAAGTTTGGCATCGATCGCCTTGCGAACGGGGTGATCCGTGGACGAGAGTACTCACACCTTCCGGAAGACATGCTGCTCAAGTAATTGAAGTTTTAGACGAGACAGTTTTGTTCTTCTTTTGTCTTTCTTCTTCTTGTTGCTCTCATGTTAATTTCGAGACGTAGACCCTGTCTTGGAACTCCACGGGCTGACTGATTTATAAAGTAACTCGAGACTGTCAGCTCGGGCACTTTGGCCGACGGTTTACTAAAGTATCAGTCTATCTTGCGTGAGAAAGGGTATAATTTATTGAAACCCCTGTTAGTTCTGACGCTCCTTTGACCGCAGTTTCACAACCACACTATTCCCTCCGGAGTGCGTAGCTGCAACCATCCGCGGACACTGTGTACGGTTCCCAGTAGCATACGATGTTGTAACTCTTTTGTCAATGTGCCACTGCATCCCGACAGGGTTGTATTTCTAAAGTTCTTTAGACCATTGGGACGGGCAAAGGCTGCAAAGCTGATGTGCACTAGCCAAGGACTGAGCCACACAGACACGGCTTTTGCACCACAAGGGGGCGATCGACGGCAGGCTGGCAGACAATCCGCGGGTGGGTTTAAAGGCCATGTGGCCCGCGGAGAGGGCCATGTCGGCTCCGCCTCCTTACTGAAAATACATGTAAGATGACGAGGTGGTATGAGTTACGCTTACGACCCCAATCGAAAACGGGGCCCCAACGTAGTCAGAAATAAGGAGGACTGGCTAGTACGGTGACGTGCCGGTGGTTGTGGACGAGAATCATCATTATGGAGGGCTTTCCCGCAAGGATTTGAATAATAGCGGCGATATAATTAGCAAAGAGTTTCTTTTGCTTAAACAAGAGACGAAAAAGAAAAAGAGGTTCAGTTTCCCGTATAACTAACATGTGGTTTTGGCGGACGAACATGACAAAACTTAACTCAAGAAGAAATGATGTTCTCCCTCGGGTGGGCTCAGCTAGCGTGCATTGAAAAGAAGCATATTTGATAATGGATATGGCAGAATAGATTTTTTTTATTTAAAAAAAAAGAAAAAAGAATCGATATTAATCAGTTTGCGTTCTTTTAAAAAGACTGGGACAGAAATGCACAGAACATTGAAAAACATGTTCAAGGAGACGTAAATCACCTTTTTTAATATTGCTGTACGAGCTCTCGTGTATGAAGAAGCACCCGAATTAAAACATAATACCTGTACCACAAATGGTGTATCCTGCGTGACTTCTCTTATCTTATCCAGCCTTGACAAACGAAATCCGTGTAGTACTCAAACAATTTGCCGCAGGTTTTTCTGAAACAAAACAAATGTCATACAAAAAACACAGCCTCCGGGGCAAGAAACAGACATGCTCCCCCAACACACGAGCATAACGCAGACCACGTCGGTGAGGCATGAACCCCTCAGCTCCCTTCTCTCCATTCCGACCAAATCACTCGCCAATTTTTGCCTTCTTCACCCAGAGCTCCCCAATCGGGTCGCCCGCCTCGGCAATGCACTCCCAGTCGCCCATGCCGTAGTGCGCGGGCGCCACGCGGCAGCCCCGCCCGCCGCCGCCGACAATCAGATTGCCCGGGCGGTAACTGGGATCCTGCTTCATGCGGCGGACCACACTGCCGTGCACATAGACGTTGTTGGGGATATCGCGGACCTCGCCACAGGGCAAAGGCCACCTGATGGGTTTCCAGGAGCCGTCGGCCTGCAGGTCCATGCGCCGGAAGGGCATGTACTCCATGATATTCCAGGCCGTGACGGTGACCTTGCTGAGTCCCCCGCCGTACTGCAAAGAATCGTGGATGGGGGCGTTATGAGCCTTGTGCATCATGTCGTGGAACTGCTGGCGGGGGGAGGTGGAAAGACGGACCTTGTCAGGTTTCCCGTCGTTGGGTGCGGCACCACCAGTAGCAGCAAAGACCAGCTTTCTCTCACTGCCAGCTGTGGTGGGCTGACTGCCGCTGGCCATGGTCTCGTCCGGGCTGTTGATGCGCACAGTGGGGGGAGGAGCAACGACAATGACGGGTTCGACAGCATCAGGTGCCACGGAAATCTCGGGCACGTGCGCTTGATGAAGAGCGGCCGACGGGCTGAGGAGCGTGTGGAGGTTGTGTGCGGCCGCCTCCACGTCGTCCCTCAAGCTGGGCGCCCACTGGTTCTCGAGCACGTCTGAACAGCCCATGGCCACGACCTTTTCGGCATCAAAGTTGAGACCGGCCCGCATGGCCTCACGGACCATCCAGGTCAGCGGCACGTGGCTCGCGCTCTTGGTGCCGGGCGTCATCTCCCAGCCGCCGCCAATGTCGCCATGGTCGCCCGAGAACCAGACTTCGGACAGGTCCTGCGGCACGTCGTCGTCGTCGTCTTCATTGTTCTGCACATTGCTGTACTCGGAGACTAAGTCGGCGTTGTCGATGTCAGCGGCGCCACCACCGCTCGACCCACCAGCACCACCGCGGCCACTGCCACGTGACTCGCACGACACAGACCGGCTGTGAGGACGATACGGCGCGGGGTTCTCGGGGTCATCGGTGCCGTCGCCGGACTCGGCCACATCAGACAGCCGCGTGGTCTGGCGGCCGCGCTTCTTTACGTCGTCGTCGTCATCGACGTCGTGGTCATGGTCATTGACACGATCGTGATCTTGACTGACTCGGCTGTCGCCTCCATCCCTGCGGATCGCCGACGATACGGCCGCCTGCAAGCTCACACGCCGCGCGCGGTACTTCTCGTGCACGTCGTGCAGCACCTGGCGCGGGTCACGGTGCTGCTTCTTGGCCGAGTGGCCAGAGCCTTGGTAGACCAGATCCTGCCGGAACTTGGCGCGGCGCTCGTCGATGCTGACGGCGTGCCGGATGACCTTGGCCGAGCTGCGCGCCGTGTACGGAAACTTGCTGCGCTCCATCCAGGCCGTCTCGAAGCGCGGCACGCTGTTGACCGTGTCGAACAAACCCAGAAACTGGATGCGGCGGACGGGGCGCGAAAATGTTTCCCGGAAGCCCTTCATAAAGGTATACATTTCCTTTTTCTTGTCTGCACCGCCGTTCTTGCCACTGCCACTGCGCCGGCACTGCCACTGGCTAAACGCCTTCCAGGCGAAGTGCACCATCTCCTCGTTGCCGTGCGTCAGCAGACCTACGTAGTCCAGCATCTCGGCCAGGAAGCGCGCAATGTAGGCACCACGCGAGAAGCCAAACAAGTAGATTTCGTCGCCCGGGTTGTAGAACCGCATCAGAAAGCGGTAGCCACCGACGACGTGTTGGTCAAACGACGAGCCGACCGCGCTGTCCTTGGCTTTCATGTACCACGACCGGATGCGGGCACGGGTGGACGTGTTTGACAGGCCGCTGGACACGACATATGTGCCGATGCCAGCTGTGAGGGAGGCAGCGACAGTCAGTGGGTGTGAATTGGAGAAAAATAGAATGAGGGTAGTGGCCAGTGGTTGTGGAACTCACGCTGATAATAATGGTACTGGTCATCGGCCGTCCGGTCGAGCATGCGGAATATCTTGAGAATATTGCTGTCTGAGTCGTCCCCACGAAACTTATTGCCCGTGCCGTCAAAGCACAGCACCAGCTTGCGTGGACGACGGTCGGCGGGTGGTGCCATCTCGTCGTGGTGGATGTGGTGATGTTGATGTCGGTGGTGTTGGTGATGTTCGTGATGATGCCCTGATGGAGGCTGAAATGGGTTTCGCAGGTGAGGCGTCGAGTCGGCACCAGTATTCAAAGTGTGCTGTTGCAGATTGGCTTGGCTGAGAACCTGAAGTTGCAACGGGATTTGATGTGCATCACCGTCTTCGGGCACTAGGTGAAGCGAGTCCATCTTCGGCGAGTCGATGGGGGGGAGTGTGATTCTGAAATAGGGAAAGCGAGCGGGAGGTGTTCCGCAGGGGATAGCTTCGAAGCTGTCCTGCAACGTATTACAACGCCTGGTGTAGGGAGCAGAGGAAGGACTGGACAGTGGCAGGTACGTGCCCGCCGCACAGGGTACGAAGTGGTACCGAGCCTGTCCGGGTGAAATCGAGGACGATCCCCAGTGACGCAGTGATCGAAGGACCAGAGGGCTGCAGATGTGTGGGATGGATGTCTCTGATTCGATGACCCTTGGCGGTCGTCGTATGGCTTGTCGAGGGATGCACACAGCTTGTGCACGGCGGACGATCACAGACTGTTTGGGACGAGCAGAAAGTGGACGACACAAGAGGGGGGATGAGGATGAACGCTGCTCGTGGAGCTGCAGTGTCTCAGCGCACGCAAACAAGGAACGGCGGTGGAGATGGGAGCATGGGAGAAAGGAGGGAAAGAGGGAAAGATTGGCAAGAGGTTGAGCGGAGACGACAATGGATTGCAGGGTAAAGACTGCGAAGAGGCGGATAATGAGACTAACAACAACAAAAAATAAACATAAAATAAAACACGAGACAGAGTGAGACCTGCAGGGTGGTTGAAGGTGGGCACAAAGAAGGAAAACCGGAAAACTGGAGGTGATGGATAGACAGGAATAAATGACAAAAACGAACTCAAAGCTGGCCGGCAACGAAATTTATGAAAACGAAAAAAAGCTACGAGTAGACAGAAAAGGGAGAGTTACGGTGCTTAAAGTGTATAAGACGATGGCAGTCGACCAACATGAATATTACAGCTATAAAAGGGGCAGCTAAAGTCAATAGTGTTGACGGGGAACGGAGCGAAGCGTCGCTTAACAATGCTGACGGTTTTCTACCTATTTTTCACGTGTCGGCAGGTCAGGGTCAGGGGTGCTCACTGTTCACGATGCATGCTGCCGTCGAAAGATGACGATGCCGGGCGTGAACGGAGATGGCGGTAGCTATTCGCCCAGATCCAATGAAGGAAGCATCATGCTTGCAGATCAATCCGGCTCGTGGATGGCTTTTCGCGGCCTGATTCGCCTTTCGTTTCCAGGTATTTCGGAATGGGAAGGGATGAGGAGAACGAAAAGGATGAATTTAAATAAGCAAGAACGAAAGAACGTCGTGCTCCACAATCTAAAGGAGGATAATGTAGGAAGACTATTGTTGTCCCGGTGCAACATGGCTGCATCAGGACATAAGTTGTGAAAAGAAAAGGCGTGCAAACCAAATAGTGCGTAATAGTGACACTTAGGCCAGTAAATTTGCGGCATAACAATATGGACAAGGCTGGCAGTAATTACTACCAGGGCGGGAATATCCATTGACTAACTGGGGTGAAGAATATTGGCTACGGGAAGTCGTCGTTAATATTGGGAACGCGGCTCAAACGCTACGAAATGGGGCCTGAGCGGGAAGTAACGGTTCTGGTAGGGCTGGGGAAAAGGAAACGAACGGCTTGCACGGCGCTATGAAAATGATGCTACGGCGATCGTCGACCATTGGAGTAACAAGCAGCTTGAAAACAAGAAAAGAGGGATTGGCAAAGTTGAAAATCACGATGAAAAATCACGATGAAAAATCACGATGAAAATCAAGAGATGTCTCCAAAGGGTGTGGGCGCTTAGCTCCGTAAATGAACGGTGAACACAAAATAGCACACGAGCAAAGACACGACAGTCAATGGAAATGCCAGAAAATTTGAACGATGTGCAATATGCATGACAGGGCAGTGGCCACACTTCAGCTCCGTCCCGCGGCCCAATTTTGGCCTAGCATGCTGCACGGCAGTGGAACCATGTCTCAGAAAGGAAAACCAGAGCAAGACAAGCAGAAGGTTGAAAGGGTCGGGGCGCTGCCAGCCTGGCCAGAAAATGCAATGCCTGCACCCAGCACTCGGGATGCCCTTGCTGGCTTACGTCCGACGTCGCACTCTGGGTTACGACGTGTTTGTCGGGCCCAAATGGTGGGAATTGGATGGTAACATTTGGCTTGTTAGATAGAGTTTGCTTACCTCTCTTCGTTTGTTCGTACGGCCCAAGAATCACTGTGCGCGCGTATGGCAAAAAGATATGTGATATGCCTGTATTAGCGCAGTGCACACCACGCCATGCGCATGCTCGTGTGCCTCATTGTCCAATCCGCAGTTAACACCATTACATGGCAGCCTTTTTTTAAGACGACAGATAGCAAAGCTGAAACTAAAAGTGGGCTTCACAGCTTCGACGAATCGACAGTGCCGTGACATTACCGATGTGATTGCTGCGCGACGTACGACCAGCTTTTTTCTTTTTTCTTTACATCTTCCGCCACGACAGTTATGATCGTCATTCACACCACTTTTGCGGGTACCAAAGGAGATTTCTTCTTCTAGCTTCTCCGCTGTGGTGTCGCCTTGACTTGTCGTATTTGTCCTGTCTTGGTGGGGACCGGAGGCCAACCCGACTTGATTTGCTGGGCTTTCGTCTTCTTGCGATAACATCCATCCTGAGACATTAAGACGCTCCTATGACAGCCTGTCACAACCCGTCTCATCCCGCCACGACCCCGTCACGACCCCATCACGGCCATCGAGATCCTTCTTCGCGGCTGCGGCTTGGCTTCTATTATGGCTTACACCTTTTCGTTTTTAATACTCCAGGTCAAAATAAGAAGGTAACCTCGTAAATCTCGTAAATTGTTATTGGGTTATTTTTTTTCTTTTTCTGCCTGTACATCCGCATCAAACCTCATAACAGACATGAACAGCCTAGAAATCGGAAAGGAAGCGGGCCGCTGTCTCGTTCTTAACCAGGGTATCCCTGTCCATCACTGCCGGTGGATGCCCTATTCCGAGTAGGCAATTGATCGTCCAAAAGAAAAGAAAACAGAGGCGCATCGACCTACATCAACCTGCATCGGCTTGCATCACCAACTAAAATCATTCACAAATAATCTAGAAAAGAACTTCGACCTACTCCCAAGCCTACCTGTTTCTCCGTTTGATTCGAAATCTTTCACGTACTTGTCTTGCACAACATGACTTGCAGATGTTGTCTTGCCTTGATTTTTGTCGTGCATCGTGCACTGCATTGTCTCACTTTTGTTCACGACATCGTCCACAACCTATCCGACCAGGCTGCCTTGCGTCCCCTCAACCAGGACAGGCGTTTTCCGCCAGTTGTCTCGCAGAAACTTGCGACTGATCGACCTGTGGTTTACCTTTTCTGCCACGCCATAGGGGCACGAGGGAGGGTGGACGGAAACATGGCCAAAGATCACAGAAAAATCAAATAGAGAGAGTAAGTTAGACAGTCGAACTGAACAGGCCACATCCACACTGTTAATATGTCCGCGTAAATCGTAATCACACCTGTCCAAAACTCCAGAACTCCGCAACTGGGGCGTCCACAAACGCACATTCAATATCCGTACCTGCAATGCCCCATTTCAAAATATGTTACCGACCCATCCCAGCCCCCAAACAGCCACACAGGGTCTTGCGGCCCCGCCCTTTGCCCTTTCGTTATTGTCCGTTTTTGTCTTCTTCCTCTGTAGCCTGACGTGTCCCATTGTAGCGTAAGGGGTGTGAAAAACTTAGATAATAAAAATAAAATGATGGATTCAAAAGAAAAATAACAAAAACAAAATTTTAAAAATGAAAAGAAACAGGCACATCTTCTCTGTTTCGTCGGGACCACTGTGAACGATGTCCACTTGTCCAGCCCAGCTGTTGACCCAGCACTGACATTGACCCAGGAGGCCCGACCCATCGAAAATGTCCGATACATTGCATCCCAGCTGCACACAGTCTCGGTTTGCACGGCATATTATTCGACTACCGACAAAGCAATTCACGATATCCTATTCGACAGTCGTTGTGATGATCCTAAATCCACATCTGAATAACCAGCCAACAAACCATCCCTGTTGACGCCATGTCTCTCTTTTCCTTTTTTTCACTTGTGTCTTTCCTTTTCTCCTGTTTCCTACAGGACAACCTCAAATTTGTCCGCTTTGCATGTGCTGATGTCGAGTATTCGTCCATGCCTTCAAGTCACTGTATGACGCTGCCTTGTATCTTCCACTGTGTTGCACTGTTTGTCGACATTCCAAGACAGGTCGGCATATAAATCCCCAGTTGATACCCGAATGTGACCCCCGTGTGTCGTCTCTGTCCTCTCTCTGGTCACTTTACTTTCCCCTTGGTGTTTTTACCCGCATCTTTCCCTTTTCCGTTTCGATATCCCTTCTTCTGTTTTCTCTCCGACCATTTTCGTGTTCTTGGACTTGGACATTCTTGTTTTTTCTCCTCATCCTTATCCTTCTTTGCTGCCTCGTTTTCCTGATTATTTTCGATACCCAATCTTATCCAACCACTCCACCACACCTTTCATCCTTCTCGTCCACAGCCCCCTCTATCCCCTCCCACCTCGCCCATCATGTCGGACAACTTGGCCGGCGACAAGCCGCAGGCAAGCACCAACATACACGGCAGAGACTCGGCCTCGTCCGGCTCGGGTAGCGCCGGCCCAGACAAGGTCGTCATCAGCGGCACCATCACCAACCGGCCGCCGCTGGTCAAGAACTTCAAGAAGCCGTCGAGCCCAGGCGCGTTGGCCAAGCTCAGCGGGCTGCGGGCGGCCTCGAAGCGGCCCTTGCCCACCGAGACAGGCAACGGCACGTACATTGTGGCCAAGACCCAGACGGGGCTGCGTGAGGACCTCAAGCACCTGACGTGGGCGAATGTGAAGACGGTGCTGGACCTCGCCAAATCCAAGAAGAAGGGCGGGCCCGTCGACGACCGCACGATGCTCATGGAGCGCGTCATCCAGCTCGTCGCGGGCCTGCCGACCCAGTCCCGCAAGCGTGAGCTGCTGACGTCCAACTTCATCACGGAGCTGTGGGAGTCGCTGGAGCACCCACCGGCACTGTTCGTGGGCGACAAGTTCCAGTACCGCATGGCCGACGGCAGCTACAACAACATACACAACCCGACGCTGGGCGCCGCCGGCACGACGTACGCCCGCACGGTGCACTCAACCGTCACGTCGCCTGCCGCGCTGCCGGACCCGGGCATGGTCTTTGACTCGGTCATGCGCCGCAGGGAGGGCAAGTACAAGAACCACCCCAACAACGTATCGAGCGTGCTGTGGTACTGGGCCACCATCATCATCCACGACCTCTTCTGGACCGACCACACTGACCCCAACAAGTCCAAGACGTCGTCCTACCTCGACCTGTCGCCGCTCTACGGCAGCAACCAGCAGATGCAGGACACCATCCGCACCTTCCGCGACGGCCGCCTGAAGCCCGATGCCTATGCGGACAAGCGCTTGCTCGGCATGCCCCCGGGTGTGTCTGTGCTGCTCATCATGTTCAACCGCTTCCACAACTATGTGGCCGAGAACCTAGCCGCCATCAACGAGGGCAACCGCTTCCCGCGCCCGGCTGGCTCGCCCGACGACGAGGGTCTCGAAGAGTGTGCCAAGGCCGCCTGGGCCAAGTACGACAACGACCTGTTCCAGACGGCGCGCCTCGTAACGTCGGGCCTGTACATTAACATCACGCTTGTGGACTACGTGCGCAACATTGTCAACCTCAACCGGGCCGACACGACCTTCACGCTGGATCCCCGCCTCGACACCGAGATCAACTCGGGCACTACCCTGCAGTCGGAGCGCGGCACTGGCAACGTCGTGTCGGCCGAGTTCAACCTGTGCTACCGCTGGCACTCGTGCATCTCGGCCAAGGACGAGAAGTGGATCGAGGACTTCTACCACGACATCTTTGGCAAGCCGGCCGCCGAGGCCACCATGATGGACCTTATGGGCGGCTTTGTCAAGTTTGACCGGTCCATCCCCGACGACCCTGGCGCACGCACGTTTGGCGGCTTCACGCGCGGCGCCGACGGTCGCTTTGACGACGACGAGCTCGTCGACTGCATGAACGACGCCGTCGAGGACGTCGCCGGTGCGTTTGGCGCCAACAACGTGCCGCCTGCCATGCGCTGCGTCGAGGTCCTCGGCATGCTGCAGTCCCGCAAGTGGAACCTGGCCGGCCTCAACGAGTTCCGCAAGCACTTTGGCCTCAAGCCGTACGAGAAGTTTGAGGACATCAACCCGGATCCGGAGGTCGCCGACTCGCTGCGCCACCTGTACCAGCATCCGGATTTTGTGGAGCTGTATCCAGGCATCGTGGCCGAGGCCGCCAAGGACCCCTTGGTGCCCGGTGTCGGCATTGCGCCCACATACACCATCTCACGGGTCGTGCTGTCGGATGCCGTCGTGCTCGTCCGCGGCGACCGCCACTACACGGTCGACTACGGCCCGAAGCAGCTGACCAACTGGGGCCACAAGGAGGTGTCGTACGACCTCAACGTCAACCACGGCTGCGTCTTCTACAAGCTCTTCATCCGCGCCTTTCCCAACCACTACAAGCAGAACAGTGTGTACGCTCACTACCCCATGGTCGTGCCCGCCGAGAACCTCGCCATCCTCAAGAGCCTCAAGCGCGACCACCTGTTCGACTTCGCCCGCCCCACGCCCATCCCGCAGCGCATCAACATCACGTCGTACGGCGGCGCCCAGCAGGTGCTCGAGAAGCAGGACACCTTCAAGGTCACGTGGAACGAGGGCCTGGGCTTCCTCATGGGCGAGCCCGGCAACCGCTTCATGCTGTCGGGCGACACGCCGCTGCACGCTCGCCAACGCCAGTGCATGGGCGCGCTGCTGTACCACAACGCGTGGAAGGCCGACGTCAAGGCGTTCTATGCGTCGACCGTCAAGGCCCTGCTGGACGAGAAGAGCTATGTGCTCGCCGGCAAGCGCCAGGTCGACATCATCCACGACGTCGGCAACATTGTGCACACGCACTTTGCGGCGCGCGTGTTCAACCTGCCCCTCAAGACGGCGGCCAACCCCAAAGGCGTCTACTCGGAGCAGGAGCTGTACATGGTGCTCGCCTTGATCTTCGTCACCATCTTCTTTGACATTGACCCCGTCAAGTCGTTCCCTCTGCGCCAGGCCACCAAGGAGGTCTGCACCCAGCTCGGCTCCCTCATTGAGAGCAACGTCAAGCTCGCTCTCGGCCTCGGTATGCGCGCCATGTTCTCGGGTCCGGCCCCCAACAAGAAGGCCCAGGACAGTCTGGCCGCCTACGGCATCAATATGACCAAGGGGCTCCACAAGTCTGGCTTGGACACCAAGGAGATTGCCTGGAGCCAGATCCTGCCGACCGCGGGCGCCATGGTGCCCAACCAAGCCGAGGTGTTCGCCCAGGCGGTCGACTTCTTCCTGACGGCTGCCGGGTCTGTCCACATCCCCGATATCCACCGCATTGCCAACGAGCCCGAGTCGCCTGAGAACGATGCTCTGCTGCTCGGTTATGCCATGGAGGGCATTCGTCTGGCTGGAACGTTTGGCTCGTACCGCAAGGCCGCCGTCGCCGACGTGATCAAGGAGGACGACGGTCGCGAGGTACCAGTCAAGGTCGGCGACCGCGTCTTTGTCAGCTTTGTCTCGGCTGCGCGTGACCCTGTGCACTTCCCCGACCCGGACACTGTCAACCCGCGCCGCCCGCTCGACAAGTACATTCACTACGGCGCCGGCCCTCATGCGTGCCTGGGCCGCGACATTAGCCAAGTCGCCATTGTCGAGCTGTTCCGCGCCCTCTTCCGCCACAAGAATGTGCGTCGCGTGCCCGGTCCGCAGGGCGAGCTCAAGAAAGTGCCGCGCCCTGGTGGCTTCTTTGTGTACATGATGGATGACTGGAGCGCGTACTTCCCCTTCCCGACGACCATGAAGATCATGTGGGATGAGTAGGTGCAGTGCCGGTCATGATGGTGCCGACACCCATTTTGCGCGGCTTGTTTCGTATCAGGACGTGGTAATTGAACAGGAGGGCAGAGGCCGGTGGAAATCGTGGTAGTAGTCCCTAAACTTGGAACTGTTTTTTTTTATTGTCAGTCTCTGTGTTATACATACCAAATTGCTGAATGGATTTGACCTACTTGAATGCTGTTTCGTCGCGGTGCGATGCTGGCCTTGTTGACATTCATTGGCCCCCTTTTCGTGGCGTTTAGTGGCCTGTGTTTTGTTTGTCGTATGACATAATATTTCCCCCCAAGCCGCTGGCGCCCGCCCCAATCAAGCCCCGCATACGCCTGACCGCGCTGAGTTGACGCGACGCCAAAACCCGTGCCAAAACGGAGAGAGACCCGCATATCGTCTGCAACTCGCCATCAACAGCCTCGCCAACCAGTGCCAGTCACCATCGGAGAAATGTGAGTTGTCGGTGTCGCGCGTTCATTTTACAAGCGTATGCTAACCTCTCTCTGTCCCTTCCGCCCTCCAGGATCGAACCAGCCATCCGAGTTCGCCGTGCCATCCACGCAAACGACCAGCTCCTCGTGCGACGTATTTTGGCATCGCATCCCCATCTCCTGCACAACCCAGACACCTCCGATGCCGGCCTCTCCAACTCCAATCTCCACCTCGCCGCCTCCCTCGGCCATCTCCACATCTGCCAGCTGCTCATCGAGCGCGGCCACGAGAAGGACGGGCCCGCCCTCAACGAAAACCATGAGACAGCCCTGATGCTAGCCGCTCGTGCTGGCCATATTGAGGTCGTGCACTACTTTTGCCAGGCCGGCGCCGCCTGGATCCTCGGCGTCGATGTCCATGGCCGCGACGCCATCATGGAGGCCAGCCGTGGCGGTCACGACACCGTCGTCCAGATCCTGTTGACATACATTCCCTCGGGGCCGGAAGACGCCGTACGCCGCGCCGACAACGAGGGCAACACCGCCCTGCACTTTGCCAGCAGCAACGGTCACCTGCTCGTGCTGCGCACTCTGCTGGCCGCTGGCGCCGACGCCGACCATAAGAACATTTGGTGCTGGACGCCTGTTGCCTACAGCGCGTCCGTCCAGGCCGAGGTCTACCTCAAAAACCTCATCAACCAGACAAAGGCCGCCATAGGCCAGCCACCAATACATGCCCCAACGCAGACGCAGGCGTCACCTCGCAAAGGTCGGCTCGGCGCCCCCGACATGTTCAGGCGCGGACAGCTGGGTGCCATGGCATCTGGGCTGCGGCTGGTCCGTGAAGATAGCCATGAGAAGGCCCGCCAACGGTGATGTCACGGTTGGGACACGGTGAGCTTTGATTGCGAAGACCATCCTTCCTTGTTCATGTGTCTCTTGTCACGATATCTTGTCTTGCGTCTCCTTTCGAGTTTGCTTTATTTTACGATGGCAAGCATACCTTGGATTTTATGATTTGGCGTCTTAGATTCTTTTTCTTGTGGCCGTTTGTCTTTTCTTGCCTCCCTTTCAGCTTCTGTGCTATTCATGTTGGCATTTCTATGTTGCATGGCCAGTTCAATATTACATCGTCTCAGCCTTCCACTACCTTGTCGCTGTCGATGTTCTTCTACACCCCGCACGGCACAGAATATAACTCAATTTTTTATTTTATTTTACCTTTTTGGCCTTTTTTGTTACTGTTTTGCACCTATGACGACAGATTGACACCTTTTCGTGTTATCCTGGACGAGTAGTCGCAGTGCTTTAGTTTCGTGCCAAGCCCTATTCATGTTTGTCATTGATGTCCCTTTATGGCCCATCGCCAAAATGGTGCGCACCACTCGCACACCTTCCAGGTTTGCCGTGCCCAGTTCCAACTTGTATTTTGTTTTCCATCTTCGACGTCCGCTTCATTAACGGTCGTCTCTTTGCCATTCTCTTCGGTGCCTGACTTTCCATTGTCCAATTCGTCCCGCACCGAGTTTGCAAAATCTAAGTAACAGGTCGACAATTCACCTCTATTTGCATACATGTCCGTCAAGGCACATGCGTACTTTGGAAGCAGCCTCGTAAAAATACTGGCCACAAGTCGTGCGTTTTCCGGTTTTTCGTAATCGAGGTAGTCACAGACAGAGTTGAAGAGATTAGACAGCAGGCCCCGGTGCTTTTCCAGGGCAGGCCCTTGTGCTGGGTATCTGGAACGATGTGCGCGCTGACGGACCTGTGATAAGCACTTGATGTGGACAACATCGAGTAGAGCCTCTTGTATACGTGTGCGGTCATCCGACTCGGGCCCATCGTAGCTCTCCTGGCTCTCACTATTTTCCACCAACGCGGCACTCAGCTCAACCATAATGTCAACCAAAAGCTCGGCCGTCTCTGCATGGCCGTCTTCGGGGAGTATGGCGACCACGTCACCAAACGATTTTAGGACCCGAATCAGGTGGACAACCATTTCGTATGAACGCTCTTTGAGTCTCTTGTCAGTAGCGGCTATATCATCTGAGCCGATATTGCGAGGGCGTTCGTCGCTTGGGTGGGTGCTCGTTGTGCTAAGGCGGAGACTTTCATTGTACAGTTCCAGGATGAGGCTCCGAATCAGAAGAAGCATTTCTTTGATCTTCTTACTGGCGCTCAGAAGGATCCTGTCGCTGTTCCGGTCGCTGTTCCGGTCGCTGTTCCGGTCGCTGTTCTGGTCGCTGTTCTGGTCGCTGTTCTGGATGGTAATCTGGTTGCTGCCGGAATCCAGCACCGAGACGGACGATGAAGAGGAGCAGGAATCACCTGCCACTGTGAATTCGCTGGTATCGGACATGGTGTTGACGAACGAGGGGGGGACTGAATCTAGTGATTTGGCTTCGTAGTGATATTTGAAATTGATGCAGGGAGAAAATATATGTTGGAAAGAAAGTCAAAGAAGAATCAAGACTGATGGACTACCACAGAGAGGTCTACGCATCTGCTTCTGATTGTTTCACCCTCCCTGGCTACGCACAAGTCGACTATACGTAATACATTAGTTTTGCTCAATAAGAGACAGAGAGCTTGTGAGCTTCATCTACACATCTACAAATGACTTTGTGACGTATGGTGCCGACTTATCATCACAAACTTTCACGTAATTTGCCACGCTCTAGTGAATGTGGCCTGCAACTATCCGTTGGCGCGCTTGCTGTTTTCCGATATTTTCTTGGGTGAAAAGGTAACGGCGTGGGAGTTGGACAACAAACAACGGAATACGACACCAAATACGATATCCTTGCTCGATGGACAGATTTTCCCTATGCCAAGCAAGGGTCTCTTTGCTAGCCGTTATAGGGCGTGAAACATTGATGTTCGAGTCTCCAAGACCAACGCATGACTCTGTCGCAGGAGCGGGTCGGTATACCCGCGCTAGGTACCCTTCAGCGCCTAATGTCGACCCAACATCGCGCGTCTCCATTACTCGCACGCCCCTTTCTTCCTACAGTCCGTTTCGTTTGGGGAAATAGAGACCAGTGGGATAAGAGAGAACGTGTACGACGTACTAAATGGAAAGGGAAAATAAAGACGAGGAAGAGGTGTTCCGGATCGAACTAGTAAGGGACGAGAAAAGTCTGTGGAGGAGCTACAGTCGATACGGACGAGACGGACAAGGCATTCAGCCGTTGGAACAGAAATGGCACTGCCCAGGATGGGTCTGTTTTGATTGTTCTGCTCGGAAGAACGTATAGATGGCAACCGTCGACCTCGCATACCCCGGCACATAATTCTTTTCTGCTAGTCCTTGACAACGACCGTCATGAACCCGAGTTATAATGTCGTAATGTTCCGTCCGATCCCATAATGAAATCCCGGCAATAAATCTCCTATAAAGGTATTTAGGCAAAACACGCTGCCCAGTACAGCAGCCAGCAATCGCCCAGCAGATTCCCAATCAACCTTCGTCATCGCTTATATGGATGCGGACGCTGAGTCGAGGTAATATCGGAAATAGATAATGTGCCGACAGACAGCCAATCCGCGTCTGGCCTACTTTTGTCCGCCTTGGGCTGCTATTCCTGTTTGCGTCGTATGATAGTAACGGCAGTGGATGGCAAAAGTATGAGATGGACGGGTAGATAGTAAGGGAGGAAACAGGCAGAAGAGAAAAAAAACTAACAACCTGAGAGTAAACATGGGATGTTGCAGCTCATCCCGTCGAGAGTTGGAGGTTATAAATCAGCAGTGGTCAGTTTAGCTGCCCCAAAACCCCAAAGGCATCTATCGTCCAAGACCGTCGCTACATTCTCGCTCGTCCCTCCAAACGTCTAGTCGCCACCATGAAGTTCCTTGTTTCCCTTCTGGCTATGGCCGTTCCCACCCAAGCAGCCCTCCGATTCGGCTGCTCGACCCTCAGCATTCAGCGCCTCGACCCGTTGGTGCAACCCGGCGCCATCCCATCGTCCCATCTGCACCAGATCGTCGGCGGCAATGCCTTCAACGCCACGATGACGGGCGACATTGGCAACCAGGCCAACTGCACGACGTGCACGTTCTCAGAAGACTTTTCCAACTACTGGACGGCGGTCATGTACTTCCGTGCGCCCAATGGCACATTCAAGCGCGTGCCCATTATGCAGAACACGGCGCTGCCCAACGGTATCAATGGCGGCATGACGATTTATTACACCCAAAAGGACTTTAGCAGCAATGGCGACCAAAAGATCACCGCCTTCAAGCCCGGCTTCCGCATGACAGTAGGCAGCCCGTCGACGGCGTCGCTGACCGATGCCGAGAGCCATGTCGGCCTGCGGTTTGTCTGCCTCGACGAAAAGGCCACGCGCTTTCCGGAGCTGCCGACGTTCCCGAACCGGCCCTGTGTCGGCGGCATCATGACGGTGCACCATTTCCCATCGTGCTGGGACGGCGTCCACCTCGACAGCCCCGACCACCAGTCGCACATGTACAACACGCAGGGCGAGGCCTTTAGCAATGCCGGCCCCTGCCCAGCATCGCACCCGGTGCGCATGCCGCAAGTGGCCTACGAGACTCTCTGGGACACAACGGGCTTCAACCACCTGTACCCCACCGATGGCAGCAACCCCTTCTTCCTCAGCTATGGCGACGACCACGGCTACGGCACGCACGCCGACTACGTGTTTGGCTGGAAGGGCGATTCGCTGCAGCGGGCCATGGACTCGACATGCATGTTCCAGGGCTGCGAGAACGGCAAGCCGCTGCTGTCACAGTCGGTAGCGGAGATGAACAAATGTGCGGTGGAGAGCACTGTCCACGAAGACATTGATGGATGTGAGTACACGACGGCGTAGCGGGAAATCAACGTCAACGAGAAGGGGGAAGGCAATGAAATCAATGCTAACTCGTCTAGGGGTCACTGAATTGCCCGGCCAGTCGATGCAAATGTGAACGCGGCTCGACGGACGACAGTCTCTCGAGTCGTGATAGCAAAAGGTCCTTTGCATGTCCTTCTTGGCCATCCGGCCACAACAGCTTCTTGCTTCTCGACGGGGTGGTCGACTCTCCGCTGTCTACATTTTCGGGTAACATATCGGACGATGGATGGTACTGCGAAGACAAGCGTGTTAATAAACAATATTCCAATATTCTCAAGTGTGAACACGTTTTCGAAAAGAGCTTTTGTGTTCCAGGCTGACAACGAAGAGCGGGAAGAATTGGCGCCCAACTTCCCAACGCCAAAACAAGGTACCAAAAGCAGAAGCAATAAATTTCAGAGGACTCTTGTAGCGCGCTTCGCTGTTTTTGTGTTATTATTTTTCCTTTATCATTAGTCTTTGCTGTCCGCCGTTTATTTTGGTTGCTCAACCACTTCCTGTTTTTCCTTTCTGCCTACGAGATATCACCTACTAGCCTACGTCATGCATCGGTCTGTGACAGCAAGACATGTCAAGACGAGACAACTGCCTCATTGGCTCACCTTGTTTCCTTTTCACAATCCGCCTCGTTGTTATTTTTGTTCCCCCTTTTCCGCGGCGTTATCCGCCCACCACTCGGCAGCCCTTGCCGTTTCCCGTATTTCCCCACTCAGACCAATAATATATCCGAACCTGTCTCGCTTTTCTTCATCGTGAACGGAAACATCCCCCTTGCTCGACTTCCACACAACCTGAGAGTGATGGGCTTTTCTCTCTTGCCTCTCTTGCCTCTCTTTGGCTATTTGATTCTTTCCGTGTGGTTTGCACTTGCCTGCCCTTTGTGGTCTATTTTCGACCTTTCCATTTATGGCGCACAATCTCACACCACCGCATAAGTACCCATGTACCTGCAGGATACGACCTTCCGTCGCACTGGATGTGGCCCCCGTCCCCTCTACAAGCTCGACACACCCTTGCGTCGCAGTCACAGCCGTGTAACGGGGAGTAGCCTGCCCGATCGAGTATCTTCGTCGTCGTTGGTGTTACATCCATTGTGCTTTTATGCTCTTGTTTCGTCGTGCTGTGTTGCGTGACGTGGTATTCCAGGACCGGGTCTGTGGTACGCCGGTCATCTCCCGTGAAGGTTCCCAAGGGTCTCCCGAGAACTGCGTGCACGGCCCAGAGAGTCAGATTTACCTCAAAAAGAACAACAGACATCTAAAAAGGCAGTCGCCCCTTTTTTCTGCTTATTGTGCACATTGTCGACGTCCCATGTTGGCTCCGGACATATTGTTTTGATCATCCAGAGTCTGCACTCTGTCAGTAGTGCGGCGAACGACGTATCTGCACGTACATGGCCGGGGATATTGTCTTCCTTATTTGCAAACATTGATATACGACAAAGAAGGTAATACCTCCCTTCTCGGGTGCCTTGTCCGGATCAGCACGTCGTGTGCAGGGCTCGCCGCTGTCAGAGTATACAACGTACAGCCACGGTCAGCGAGTCCCGCGTCGGCTTGACAAACGCTTCCAACATCGACAATCCGTTGCATTTGTAGCATTTGTCACTTACGAAACACACGAAAGTAGTATTAGGTCAGACACGTTGTATGAGCCACAGACTCTGAAACCAAAAAAAAAAAAAAAAAAACAAAAAAAAAAAAAAGAGAGAGAAGAGAGAGAGAGAGAGATTGGCGGCGGCTGTTGCTTCGGCTCTGCGTGGCTGCATCGTTTTGCTTCCACGTCGTCGCTGTCGCGGTCGCCGTTACTTCTCTGCTTCTCCCATTTCGGTAAGTGCTCTTTGAATTGGTCTGCGGTTTTGAAACGGCCTGGTACTTGTGGTGAGTGTGGCTAGTTTAGAAGGACGGCGCATGCCATTTCCGCTTTTGGCTCCCGGCATGGCAAGGGTGGGAATTGTGGACAGGGGCAGGCAAAGCGCGGTTGGTGTGGATGGGTGGAGAAGGTGGACGGAGTCAAAAGCAGGTGAGAGAAAAGGAAGCAGGAAGGACAATGGAAAATACGGAGTATCACAGCATGCTTCAATACCATTGACAGTCGCTGAGATTAAGTGGTCTGAGTCTAAATTCGAGAGCGAACATAGGCCAAACTGTAGCCTATTTAGCATGGGACACGATGGAAATCGAAAACGTGGCCAGGCCTGAATTGATGCGAGTTGATGAGTTTTGGATACTGATACAATCGCACTCCGACAGGAATCGGTACGACACGGGAAACCTTCAAGAAGGCCCACGAATAAAGACCGTATTTCCGTCGTACTAAATACGATACTGTTCACCCCTGAACCATACATGGAAAACCGGGATCAGGGATACTAATGAGTCGAAGTCCCACCGTCTGTGTGGACTTGGAGATTTTTTTTTTCTATTTCATGGAGTCCACTGTGGTTCGTGTCGCTCATTGCTTGTTTTTGTTGTTACTTCCGTGATTTCCTTGATCATCA